CCCTTAAAAAAATTCACTTTTCTTTTTTTAAAAAAATATTATTTATTAGTGAGAGACATAGAGAGATAGAGGCAGAGACACAGGCAGAGGGAGAAGCAGGCTCCCTGTGGGGGGGAGCCCAATGTGGGACTCCATCTAGGACCCCAGGATCACACCCTGAGCCTAAGACAGACACTCAACCACTGAGCCACCCAGGTGCCCCTGACTTGTTTTTCTTTTTTAATATTAAGTTGTAGGAATTCATTAAATATTTTGGTAATTTATCTGTTTTATAAATATTTTCTTTCTTTGTGGCTAGCCTTTTCATGCTATTGTTGGGATGCTGTAAAGAGCAAAAGTTTGTTTTTTCACCAGTCTCATTTATTATTTTCTTTTATTACAATTGAACTTAAAACATAAATATTTTTTAAGGTTTGTGTCCTACCTAAGATATCTTTCAAATCTGATACCACAGAAACTTTCTCCTTTCTTTTAGAGGTTTTATAATTTTAGCTCTGTTGGGTCTATGTTCCATTCTGAGTCCATTTTTATATGGTATGAGGAAAAGATGAAAGGCCATACTTTTCCACATGGATGTCTGATATCATTTGTTGAAAGGCTTTAATTTTGAAGAACAATGTCACCTCTATTAGTTTGCTAGGGTTGCCATAGCAAATTGCCACAAAATGGGTGACTAAAAACAAAAGAAAATTATTTTCTTGATTCCGAAGGCTGAAAGTCCAAAATCAAGGTGCTGGCAAGGCCATGCTGTCTGAAGGATCTAGGGAAGAATCCTTCCTTAACTCTTCCCAGCTTCTGGTGACTCCCAGCATTCCTTGGCATTCCTTGGCTCATTACCATATAATTCCAATCTCTACCTTCATAATCACATGGCATTCTCCCTGTGTGTATGTCCAGATTTCCCTTATCTTACAAAAATCAGATTTTTTAAAAAAGATTTTATTTATTTATTCATGAGAGACACAGGGAGAGGCAGAGGGAGAAGCAGGCTCCATGCAGGTCTCAATGCGGGACTTGATCCTGGGTCTCCAGGATCAGGCCCTGGGTTGAAGGCAGGTGCTAAACCGCTGAGCCACCCGGGCTGCACCCCAAAATTAGATTTTAAGCCCACTCTAATCTAGTATGGCCTAATTCTTACCTAATCACTTCTGCCAATATCTTATTTCCACTTAAGGTTACATTCTAAGGTATTGAGTAGATACAGATTTTGGGGAAACACTATTCAACCCATTACAGCACCATCACAAAAAGAATGACAATATATGAGGATCTATTTTTGAATACTTTATTCTATTCCATTGATCTATATTTCTATCTTTTAACCAATACCATTCTGTCTTGACTACTGAAGCTCTCTAGTGGGTTTTAAGTTCTTCAGGTTTCAGGGTCTTTCAAAATAATTTTGGCTATCAGGGCACCTGGGTGGCTCAGTCAGTTGAGTCTCTGACTCTTGATTTTGGCTTGAGTCATGATCTCAGGGTTGTGGGATAGAGCCTCACATTGGGCTCTGTACTCAGTGTGTGGAGTTTGTCCCTCTCCTTCTGTTTGCCCACCCCCAAAAAAATGAATGGATGAATGAATGAATGAATGAATGAATGACTAAAATCTTTAAAAAATAATTTGGCTATTCTAGGTCTTTAACAATCTCATGTAAATTATTGAAATAATTTATCAATTGTTTAAAAAAACTCCTGGGATTCTGGTTGAATTGCTTTGAATCAATCAATCATCAATTTGAATTCTTAATAATATTGAAACTTCTAATGCATTTATGTCTTCCTTTCGGTAATGTTTTATAGTGGATAGCTTTTGCATGTATTTTGTTAGATTTATTCTTAAAGTATTTCATGTTTTTAGTATTATTGCAAATATTTTACAATTTCACTTTCCAGTTGTTCACTGCTAATATTGAAAATACTATTGATTTTTGTATATTGACTTTGCTAAACACAACTATGAACTATAGTAGCCTTTTTGTTGTTGATGATTTCTTAGGGTTTTTTTTTTACATAGGTAATGATGTCATCTAAAAATAGTTTTACTTATTCCTTTTTTAATCTGCATATCATTCATCTTCTATTCATTATCTTCTTGCCCTGGCCAGGACTTGCAGTAAATGCTGTTTACCTCTTGCCTTGTCCCCAGTCTTAGGGGAAACACATTCAGTGCTTCACTATCAAATAGGATGTTACCTATGTGCTTCAGGGAAGGTTTATTTCCAGGAAGTTTCCTCCTATTTTAATTTTGCTGAGAGTTTTAATTTTGATTGGGTATTGAATTTTGTAAAATGTTTTTTCTGCATCTGACCATATATGCTCCCCCCATTCTGATCATATGACGAATTACATTGATACTCAAATATTAAACCAATCGTACATTCCCAGGAAAAGTCCTATTTGATAGAAATATAATCTAAGAAAATACTAAATGAGACTTAAAAAATATTTTATTTATTTATTTGACACACAGAGAGAGCACAAGCAGAAGGAGGAGCAGAGGGAGAGGGAGAAGTAGGCTCCCTGCTCAGTGCCTCAATCCCAGGACCCTGAGATCATGACCTGAGCCAAAGGCAGACATCTAACTGGACAAAATCACCCAGGCACCCCATACATAAAGTCTTAAAAAAAATGTATGGATTAAAAAAAATGTATGGATATTGTTGGATTCTATTTGCTGAAATGTTGTTAATTTTTGTGTCTCATGATGGATATTGGTCTGTAGTGTTTTTGTAATCTTTGGCTGGTTTTGGTGTAATACTGGCCTCAAAAAAATGAATTTTCTTCTGTCAGGTCTAAGATTTCTTTTTTTTTTTTTTTAAGAATTCTTATTATTTCTTCCTTTGGTAGAATTCATAGCAAAGGCATCTGGGCCTAGAGTTTTTTTCTAAGGAGGTTTTTAAATATAAATTCAATTTTTTTAGGGCTACTTGAATTATCTGTTTTTGTGTGAACTTCAGTAGCTTGTGTCATTTCATCTAACTTGTTGAATGTATTGGCAATAAGTTTTTCATAATATTCTCCTCTTTTTTAAATGTCTATAAAATCTGCCTTGATGATTCTCTTTCATTTCTCATCTTGGTACTGATGACTGGTTTGGCCAGAAGTTCAATTTCATTGATATTTTGAAAGGATTAGCTTTGAGTTTCATCCATTTTCTTATTATTTTATTGTTTTGTATTAATTATTGTCCTTATTTCTTCCTCTGCTTGCTTTGTGTTTAATTTGCTCTTCTTTTTCTAAATTATTAGATGGAAGACTAGAATGTTGACTTGAGATTGTGCTTCTCTAATAACAATGCTATATAATTGCTCTAAGCCTTCCTTTAGTTATGTCCCACAAATTTTGATAAAGCTTAAAATTTTTCTTTTAAAAATATTTATTTATTTGAGAGAGAGAGAGAGAGAGAGAAACATGGTGGGGGGAGGAGCAGAGGGAGAGGGAGAAGCAGACTCCCCATTGAGCGGGGAGCCTGAGGTGGGGATCAATCCCAGGATTCTGAGATCATGACACAAACCAAAGATAGACACTTAACCTACTGAACCATCCAGTAGGTTCCATCCAGTGCCTCTAAATTTCTTATTCAAAGTACTTGCTAATTTTGCTTGTGGTTTATTCCTTGGCCTATGGATTATTTTCTAATTATTTGTGGATTTTCCTAATATCTCTTATTTCTTTCTAGTTTGGTGGCCTGAGAACATATTCTGTATTATTTCAGTTATCTTACATTATTGAGAGTAGTTTTATGACCTGGAATATGGTTTATTGTAATGGAGGTTTTGTGTTCACATGAAAGAATGTGTAGTACTGTGGTTGGGTGGAGGATAGCACCAAGTGTTCTCTGACACAGTGGTCAGTTAGGCTGATGGTGTTGATCTGGTCTTCAATTTATTACTGATTTTTGGTTATTTGTTCTATCCATTACTCAGAGAGGAGCAATGAAATCACTAATGACAGTTATAGATTTGTCTGTTCCTCCCTCAATTTCTAGCGGTTTCTGCTTCACGTACTTTGAAGTTCTAATATTACATACATACCTTTTTAGGATGGTATATTTCCTCAATGAATTATCATTACAGAATGTTTCTTGTTCTGAGGCCTACTTTATGTGATGTAAATATGTCCTCTATAGTTTTCTTTCATAGCATTTATATGGTAGTGTCCATATTTAAATTGGGTTCCTATAGAGAGATACAGTAGGATCCCACTTTTCATATCAAATCTGATAATTTCTGACTTTTAGTTGGCACATTTATTTACATCTGCTATAATAACTGTGATATGGCTGGCATTAAGCCTATCATCTTCCTATTTGTATCCTACTTTTTTTCTATCTCCATTTTATATTTCCCCTGCTATATTTTAGATTGAGTGCTTCATAATCCCATTTCCCCACAATTGATTGGTGGTGAGGGAAGATGTTTGAAAAAAATGATAGTTGAAATTTTTTCAAATTTGATCAAAACTATACACACCCAGATCCAAGAAACTCAATGAGCTTTGTCCAGATTGAAATGACCTCCTCTCCATTTGTACCCCATTGTATCCCATATTCTTATCCCAGAACATGTAACATTTCTGAATGAACTTATTTGCCTGTCACTCTGTACCAATTTGTGGGCAACTTTAAGATGGAATAATACACGGCACGTGATAAATACTTAAAACAAGACTTCTCAAATGCTGAGCACATCACAAATTTTGCTTATTTCAAACAGGCAAAATATAATTGACTAAACTGACATTTCTTTTTCAAACTATGTCAATACACTGGGAAATCAATTGATTTGAGTTCCTAAAAATTATTTACACAATAGCTGCCCTTTTGGACCTCATGTTTAACATGAAAAAGGAATAAATTTAAAATCAAACTCTCAAATGGAAGTATATATCATAGCATGCTTGCATTAAAAAAATTACACTGTTCTACTGTTACATTTCATTAAAAAACAAACAAAAAAACCCAACCACCTTCCTTTGAAGTTGTGCTTTAAAGCAATTTACCTGGCTTGCAAATTGACTGCTAGGATCAGCTGAAATAAACACGCCATCTTTATCCTTCTGAAATCCATCGTGAGACCAATATGCCAGGTCAAAAGTAAATGTCTTCCTGTGTTCTGGATTCTTAGGGTCTTGTATGGTGGTGGTAGTCCTGGAATGCATGGAAATCACACATTTGCTCCCAGAATTCTTCTCTCTCTATAGTCAAATTACAAATTCACAGTCAGTCATTGTAGTTTTGTCATTTGAATTGTTTTTGCAAGTCTTTATACATATCTCATAAGAAATTGAGCCAGGCACTCACCATTCATTTTATTCTCTGTTATTCTTAGCAGCCGTTACGATAAGCAGCAGCTCTTAAACTTCCTCAGAATTTCTGAAAGGCTTGTCTCTAGTGATAATACTTTTCTGAAAATAGCGTAAGACCCAGCTAGGCTAATAATAATAACTATAGCAACCAAGAGCTTCCCTTTTTATCTCCAGTGAAACTGGTGAAAATTATTCATGAAAAAAAGATAAGGAAAAACAGCCATTTCAAGACACTGGAAATGGTCCTCAGGGCAGACAACCGATGACAAAGTATCTATTCAAGGAAACGTACCACAATTGTTAAGAAAGTTGCGTCTGGTATTTGAAGCAAGACCATTCCCTTTGTCTCCCCTGACAGCTCAGCTAGGTGGAGACTCTACCCCAGACTCCTGGAGCCAATACCACAAGGAATATCCCCAGATATTCCAGCTGGAGGGTTTTTTTCCTTGGCAGGGGCAGGTTATCAGATTTCATATCCCACTCCCATCTGCCTGTTGCCAAGGCTAAGTCCTGGGAGAGACTTGGTGAGAGGTAGCATTCCTTCTTCTAACCAATGCCCATGCATGCAATGGAGGCTCTACTTTGGACGCAACATGCTGAGAATACTAGGGTGCTGGCTGTCCTTGCCCCCACCTCCGAGCTGGGGAGTCCACGCCAGGACAGGTAAGCTGGGAGGATCTCCAGCTGCTGTTTCACATTCAAGTGCTGGGCTTCTAAAACAGGGAGCAGCTTGCCATTGTCTCCACTCCCAAATCCAGAGATCAGCTTTAGACAACCTGTCTGGGGGGGATAGCAACTAATGTCTTCTCCAGAAAACTGATATCATTTGCTCTTTCAGAGAAGCTTGATCCTAGGGGCACACTCAAGAACAGAAATTGTGATGAAAGGCAACTGGGAGGAGGGTTGTTGTTAGATTAAATTACAGTCTCTCTAGTTTGCAGAGGTTGTGGGGCAGAGGAGGGGGAGCAGGTGCTGGGAAATAACACAGCTGGGACAAACCCACCTGGAGAAAAAAAAATATCAATCACTGAAACAGTTCCTTTTAAAGGAACCAGATTATGATCACATTAGTTAAGAGTAATTTATGCCTCTAGGACATTGTTGGAAACAGAGCAGTCAGTCATCAATCAGCAGAATAGAACAGCTTCGCGTGGTCAAGAGAGGAATGAGCCCTATCCAAACCAGTGTTACCCAGGGTGACAGGGCATACCCAAAGCTGTGCCCTCCAGAGGTGGGGGGATGGACTTCACTGCAATAATCCAACCAGTCACTAAACAAATAACCAAGTAACAATAATAAACTACACAGGGGTGGGCGAATCAGTTTCCAGATTTGCTATACTGTATTACCTAAAGTGTCTAGTTTCTGTTGAAAAATGAGGAGGCTGCAAAGAAACAGGAATTTCCCTATTCACTGGGAAAATGACAGTGACCAGTGATGACCAGATGCCAGACTTCTCAGCAGTGTCCTTATAGGAAGCATTATAAACATAAGGAACTGAAGGAAACCATGATTAAAGAAATAAAGGATTATAATGGATACTATGAACCACTGGGTACCAACAAGTTAGATAATTTAAATGGGCAAATTCTTAAACACAGAACTCCTGAAACTGACTCCAGAAACAGACAATCTGAATACACCTATAACAAGAGATTGAAGTAGAAAGAAAAAGAAAAAAAGCCTAGATGGTTTGAATGCTGGTTTGAATTCCTACCAAAACTTTAGAATATCAATTCTTCATAAACTCTTCCAAAAAATAGAAGAGGGAATACTTCCCAAACCTACTTTTATGAAGGCAATGTTACCTCTATACCAAATCCAGGCAAAAACATTACAAGAAAATGGAAATACAGATCAATTTCCCTTATGAGTATCAATGCAAGAATCCTCAATAAATTATTAGCAAACCAAATCCAGCAACATGTAAAAAGAATTATATGTCATGCCAAATGTGATTTATCCAAGGTTATAAGGTTGATTTAACATCTGAAAATGATTGTATTAATGTTTTTTATTTTCTATATTTGATAATGCATTGACATCCTGGGGCCTAAAAAAACTGCCCCTCCAGGGCTAATAGATTCCTAGAGATAGTAAGCAACTTGCCTTTCATGTAAACCAACCAATCCAAAGTCCATACCAAACTCTCATACATCAAGCCAATATTTCCCATGCCCTAAATCACCCAGGGCCAGGTACCTGACTAGAGACTACCTCTCTATGGACTCTAGCCCAGAGTCCATTGAAATTACTCAAACTATATAATCCTAAACTTACTCAAACTTCCCCATTATGCCTGCCCATTCCTTCCTGCAGAAACCAAAATAAGGCTGTGGGCTATGCTCCTTCTGTCATTTGCCTGACCTTGATACTTCCTCTGTGTGGCATGCTCCATTTTCTTGAGAACGTTAAGGCAGTTGTTTCTATGTCTGTCACCTTACTATACTTGATTAAAGCAAATCTCTGGCAACTTTAAGGTAATGACTTCATGAAATAGATCAATAGAATGAAAACCAAAAATCACGTACCATCTCAATAGATGTAGAAAATGCATTTAGCAAAATCTAACACCCTTTCATGATAAAAACACTCCAGGAATTAAGAAATGGAATTCTTCTGGTAAAGAGCATCTATGAAAGACCCACCATCGGTATCCAAATAATTAATGGTCAAGACTGAATGTTACATGCTAAGATCAAGTAGAAGACAAGGATTTCTACTTTTAACACTTCTATTCAATATTGTATTGGAGGATCTAGGGCAAATAGGCAGGAAAAAAGAAATTAAAGGTATCTGCATAGGAAAGGAATAAATAAAATTATCTCTTTGCAGAGGACAGGATTTATAGAAAATCCTAAGGAATTCTCTAAAAAAACTATTAGAACTAATAAAGGAGTTCAGTAAGGTTGTAAAACATAAGATCAACACACAAAAATCAATTACATACACTTGAAAGGAACAATCTGAAAATGAAATGGAAAAGTTCCATGTCTAATAGTATCAAAAGGAACAAAACACTTAGGAATAGTTAACAAAAGAAGTACAAAACATATCTTCTGAATACTACAAGACATTGTTGAATGAAACTAAAGATGATTTAAAAATTGGGAAAACACCCCATGCTCATAGATCAGACTTAGCATTGCTAAGAAGATAACACTCTCCAAATTGATGTACAGATTCAGTGAAATCTCTATCAGAATCCCACCTGATTCTGTGTAGAAATTGATAAGCTAATTGTAAAATTAAATGGAACTGGAAGACACCCAGAACAGCCAAAACAGTCTTGAAAAAGAACAAAGCAGGATTCACAATTCCCAATTTCTCAACTTAGTACTAACCAAACAGTGACTAAGGCAGTAGTGTAATACTGGCACAACAGACATACAGATTAATATAATGAAATTGAGAGTCTAGAAATCATCCTAGGCCTCTGTGGCCAACTGATTTTCAACAAGGCTATGAAAATGGGGAAAGAAGTGGTCCTGGGAAAACTTGACAGCTACATGCAAAAAAATTGAACTTGGAGTCTTACTTCATTTTATACACAAAAATTAACACAAAATGGACCAAAGACCTAAACGTAAGAGCTATTAGTACAAAAGAAAACGTAGAAGTAAATATTTGTGACCTTGGATTGGGCAAAGGAGTCTAAGGACACCAAAGCACGAGTTAAAATTTAAAAAAAGACTTCATCAAAATTAAAAACTTTGTGCTTTAAAAGACACCATCAGGGATCCCTGGGTGGCGCAGCGGTTTGGCGCCTGCCTTTGGCCCAGGGCGCGATCCTGGAGACCCGGGATCGAGTCCCACGTCGGGCTCCAGGTGTATGGAGCCTGCCTCTCTCTCTCTCACTGTGTGCCTATCATAAATAAATAAAACAAAAAAAAAATAAAAAATAAAAAAAAAGACACCATCAAGAAAATACCCACAGAATGAGAAAATTTGCATGTTATCTAATAAGGAATTGTATCTATCCAGAACAGCTCAATGTAAAAAGATAACCCAACTTAAAAATGAGTAAGAGATCTAGATAGACATTCAAAGAGGATACGCTAATGGACAATAATATGAAGATACTTGACATTCTTCATCATCAGGGAACTGCAATTCAAAACCACAGGACATCACTTCACACCTAGAATGGCTATAATACAGACTGGTAACTGGGTTGGACTGAAGAAAGTGGAATCCTCATACACGGGCTGGTCGGGTATACCCCTGGTACAGCTGGCTTTGGAAAAATCTGTCAGTTCCTGAAATTACTACTCCATGACTCAGCAATTCCATGCCTGGGTATAAAACCAAAAGAAATAAAAAGATGCATCCACACAAAAACTTACACGTGAATGTTTATAGTAGCATTATTTCCTGCAGAAACCAAAATAAGGCTGTGGAGAAAGCCAACACAACTCAAACATCCACTGAAGAATGGATTAAACAAAATGTGCATGTCCACACAATGGGGTATGATCCAGTCCACAAAGAAATGAAATTTTGATCCATGTTACAACATGGACAGACCTTGAAACCATTATGCTAAGTCACAAGACCAACTCCATTCACCTGACCTGTACAGAACAGGCAAATACGTACAGACTAAGGTTAGATTACCAGTTGCTTAGAACTAAAGGGATAAGGATGGTCAAGCTAACTGGCAGATTCTTGAGGTGATGAAAATTTTAGTTCTGAAATTGGTGAAAATGGCACAAATCTGTGAATCTACTAAAAAGTATTGGATGGTACACTTTAAGCGAGGGAACTATATAGTATGTGAACTATCTCAATAAAACCATTCACAAAAAATTATAGCAGGGGCACCTGGGTGACTCGGTTGGGCATCCGACTCTTGGTTTTGGCTCAGGTCGTGATCTTGCTGTTGTGAGATCAAGCTCTGCACTCCCTGTAGTCTGTGTGACTCTCTTTGCCACCAGCCCCTTCTCCCCCCACATATGGTCTCTCTCTCTCTCAAGAAAAAATTATAGTGGCTACCATCAAGACTCCTTTATTCATCAAGGCAGTGTGTTGATTTGCACGTTATTTCACGTAGGTTTTAGAACCGGTAAGCCTGCAGAGTTCAACATCTCCGCTTTGCACGTAAGGAACCAAGGCTCAGAGAGTTTAGCACCTTCTTCAGAGTCACACAGTGGGTGAGTGAGAAACCCAAGTTCATCTGACCTCAGATTGTGCTTCAAAGGCTTCTGAGAAAGTGCTTCCTCTTATCAGAGTCTCACCAAGTTGGTGCTCTGACCTCACAATGAGGATATAAAGCTAGGAAGTCAGAGATTAAGAGTCCAGGCCACCTGGAGGTGCTCCAGTTGTCCAGGGGTGATCCCTAACTGTTCACCCTCAGGTCTGCTCTCCTCCTTGCTATAGGCTAGCCAACGGTGTGGGTGGGATACAATCAAATGCAATCTTTTTGATGAGGGGACCTAAAAGCCATGTAATTAACTGAGTGCCTACTTGCTCCCCCCATACTGTAAAACTTATAGTTGCTGCCACAGTAGTAAAGGCCAGTGAAAAATACCCCTGGAACAAGTACTTTCAGCGTATTGACGTGTTTGATTACAAAATTGTTTTATTTCCTCCTTTTTCTTGGTTGAAACATTAAACTCCTCACAGTTCTTGGGCTCCTGGTTTGATCAGGAGCCTAAGCCCTGATGAGCTGCGACACTTGAGGTTGTCTGGTTACGCACATAAAGCTATCCAGTACTATACCTGCTGGGCTGCTGAAGCATTTCCTGCCATGCAGATAAATGCCAGGGCACAGGAAATCACTGACACCAACTGAAAACATGCAACATAATCTTAAAAACCGATGGAGAAAAAGCGTCAGGTTGAACAATCTCCAAGTGGGAAACCAGACCTGATACGTGGTCCCCATTACGTTCATCGTATGCCACTCAACACTGGTCACTGACCAGTATGCCCTTGGACATTGTTCTATCTAGCATATTTTTGTTCAAACCTTACTTGCCCCTTGGGTCATCTGAAATGCCTCCCTCTGCAGAGTCTTCATGACCTAGCCAGGTAGAATTGACTAGAACTGATCCATCTCTGGGGGCCCAGACTATTTGCCTTACCACTGTGGTACGTGCTGCCACCACTTACATGATAAGACTGACAGCTGCTTTGTAACCTATCTGCAGCACAGTGTTTGATGCATAGCAGTCGGAAGTTTGCTGACTGGGTCAATTGTTCAGAATTATCTTAAAATTTTTAACTAATGCATGGATAATCAGAGATTACTACAAGGTTCCAGAACAAGCGTGATCTCTATTTTATCCTATGGTGTTGTAGCAACACAGTTGAATGAGTAGTTGGGAGTGGAAGTACACTTCTTAAAAATAGCACGTATCTCCATTCATCAACCCGCACTGGTTTAAGAAATTATTAACTTGACAGTACGCTTCTCTCATCAATGTTTTTATTGAGCTACTTGTGCAAAGGAATGAGGTTACGTGTTTACTAATTATGCAGAGATCTTTAAGTTACTCGTTTAACAAGTTCATTTAAATAAGTTCAATAATTCCATCAGTGACAAGCAGCTTGAATACACGTTTGGTAACTATCATTGGAAAATGAAGAAAATGCAAGTCCCGGTCAAAGTTCCAACAAGGTGGTGGAGCTTTCACCATCACTGACCTGACTGAACGGCCGCACCCGTACCGCTACTCTCACAGTGTCGATACCTGGCAGCGGCGTCGTCGGCATTTCCCATCACTTGTGGTGTTTATTTGGTAGAAAAATAAGGTGGAAAGCACAGTGCTTCTGCTTCACTCGAAAACATTACAAGCTTAGCCAACACAAGCAGTTTGTTTTGAGACAATCAATTATTAATGGTCCATTCATTACACACTATCCATTACTGGTTATAAATTATTTTACAACACTTACTTATTGATGAGTTTTACAGGCTGTCATCAAGCATCACTTAACTGCACCAGTCGTACTCACACAACGTCTTATTTTTCTTTTCCTTCCCTGCCTCATATGCTTCCCCCATCCTCAGTAGTCTGTGCCTGAGGTCTTATGAAAATGTGTCAGTTTTCAAACCTGAATATTAAGGATTTCTGAGGTTTAATAGGAAGCTCTTTTACAGCAAGAATATTATAAAATTTGTTCAGATTTCTCATTCTATGGTTACGAGGCACGCACAAGGTGCACCTAGTAGCCATGACGCAGATTTGACATTTCCCTACCTTCTTAGACCTTCCTAAAGAAATGGCTAGTGAGCAGTGAACCGGTCAATCTAACCTGGATGATTAGTCTCTGAGGAACTCAGAGACTTTAAAGGTAAAGAGCCTTTAAGCTTGCTGAATAAGAAATGCCAACATTGTATTTAACCAATGCATTACTTGGAAAATTACTCATTTGAGGTAGAATATACAAAATCTGTTATAACTAAAAAAAGCGGCAGAATTACATGCCCATTATTTGATTTCAACATAGTAACAGGCAAAAATATATATATATATACATTTTATGATTAGAAATCTCAATCATAGGAGCAAAGTGCATAAATTATAAAATAGCAATTTAAAAAAAAACATCAACAGTTCTTCAGTCATCCTCATTTTAAGGCTGAATACCTTTAACTGTAGCGAAAGAAAATGGGACCAATGCTTACTTGCATTATAAAATCATTATTAAAACAGAAATCCCTTCTCAAAAAGCTAACAGACACAAACTACTGTGAAGTATACACTTTATTTAACATTCCAGTAGTAAGCCATATTTACATATTATATAAATGTATGAAGTCTTAATATAAAATAGAAAAACTGCCCAGACTAAAAGAATCACACTCCTTACGGAGTTATTTTACTTATTGAAGACCTTTTGTTTACAAAAATTTACAGTAATTTATACAAATTATTTTGTTCCAAATTAACGATTTTTAATAATCCACACAATTCTGATGATTTTACAAATTGGTGTTCATTAAAAAGTTGAAAAAAAAATTAGAGCATTTTTCTGCGTAAAACTTGCTTTGGAAAGGAGGACAGCTTCTTCCTGCCCCTTCCTGGAGCTCTTCCTGGTGCTGCTGTTGCTCTTTTAGGTTTGCTCTGGACTTCGTCAATCGGGCTTGGCAAGGGAGAAATCAGCCGGATTTTCACAGGAGGAGGTGACCAGTTACCTTCTTCTTTGATTCTGAAAACAAAAAACAAAACAAAACAAAAACAATTCGAGTAAGAATAAACATATTATGATATAAACTAGAATCCACTTCGCAATTAAATTAAGAAAAAGGCCATTTAGGAGCAGCAGCCTCTCCTGGTGCTTTGGTTTTAGCATTGTTTTTGGTCATATAAGCTAACTGGAAGCTGAATAAAGTCTTCACATGACATTGGTGCCAAGAGAGCCAGCAGGCCTGTGATGTGTGTGAGAAACAGCAACTCACACACTAGTGATCAGTGAGTGTGTCTACTTTCATGATATTAAAGTTTCCTACGTATAAATAAAGCCAAATGCCATGGAAACAGTGTTATTAATTACAGACCAAAGTCTCATTCAGTTTTTAAAGTAAGCTCAAGTGGATTTACTTTGTACTTTTTATGAAATTCAACCACGGCTAAGAATATACCTAGAGAAATTTCCCCATGAATAAATGTAAGATTTTAAGTTTATAATTATTTTTTTATAATTATTTTTTATTAATAGTTATCTACCTTTATTAAGCTGAGGGTGAAACATCTCACTGCCCTCCCCCTAATCCACTGTGCACAGAAGTACCCCGACGACCCTTCCTTAAAAAAGATGGATGGGCTTTCACTGCTGTGTGGAGAGACCTGCCTTCTGTGGTGAGATCCAGCCATCTCCAGGAACCACTGTGCATAAATGCCCCTAAGAATCACCTTTTTCTAAAGAGCTTAATTTCTCTAAGACTCTTCTCAAATCCAATCTATGAAACAAAATGGACAAAAATTAGGCATAAAAAAGGGCGTACTTGCTTGCCTGTCTCGTCTTTGCAGTCCTGGTTGCTTTCACTTCTGGCCTTCCCACACTTTCTACTGATGGAGCATCATCTTCCTATGGGTTAAAAAATTTAAAAGATAAATTATAAGGGAATACTTGAAACCTAAGTAGAATTAGTTCTATCCCAAGTCAAGGAATACAGCCAAACAGGGCTACTGAACTCAGACCTAACAGGTCCCTTTCATCTTTAGCAGAGACTCCAGTCATTTTAGGTGTGCTCTCTATCCCTGTCCCCACACACCCAGTTCATCTCCAAGGCATGTATTTTTCACGTGTTATGTGTCCTTGCTTCTGTCCAAATCCGGGTTCTCTTCATCTTTCATCAAGACCACCAGAGACTAGTTTTCCTCCCTACAATTTATTTTGTACTTCCTTGAATGTGCACATGGCTATTTACCGGTGTGTAAGCAACCTCCACCCTACCCCCACCCACTGCCAGGCCTCTGGCCTCTGCAATCCACTGTCTTCTCTTCCAGGGATGCCTGTTTGCTTTATCTTCTGTCTATAGGGTTATTTGTGCATAACTGATTCTTTTCATACTGTGAAGTAATTAGGTGTGTTTCCAGTTTTTCAATTAAATTGAACTCCTGAAAGGCAAAGTATCTGACCAAGTCATCTCTTTGCCCCTGCAGAGTAACCAGCACACAGCAGACACTTTAAGAAATCTTATGAATGAATCTTGTTAAAAACCAGGGTCTTCTTCTCAATCCCTGAACTGTTTTTATTTTAAGGTTACGTGCAATCGGGTGATACGGTCTGTATGTGACATCCTGGAGAGTCAGGAACCTCTGTTTTACATAGATCTGTTTTAGACCATTCTGATGAGACACTAAAGGTTAAAAGCCTTTCCCCTTTGGGTAATCGAAACTGCAACTTCGGGGATTACTGGGTGGCTCAGCGGTTTCGCGCCTGCCTTTGGCCCAGGGCAAGATCCTGGAGACCTGGGATTGAGTCCCGTATCAGGCTCCCGGCATGGAGCCTGCTTCTCCCTCTGCCTGTGTCTCTGCCTCTCTCTATGTCTATCATAAAAAATAAATAAAAATAAATCTTAAAAAAAAAAAAAAAGAAACTGTAACTTCCAGGAACACACCATCAGTGACATATCGCAGATATGTCCAAAGGGGAGGGTCCCTAGAAGCACAGACAAGGGGATCAGGGGCTTTTGGTATAAATGTCTGCACTTCGAAAACAGATTTACTTTGGAAACACTGCCTAAACAAAGAACATGTTTAAATAAGCATGCAGATAAAATCCGTTTCTTACCAGTTCATCTCCAGCTCTGGATGTGTTAGATGTGGTTTTCTGCCTGGTCCTTAAAGCAGGAGGTGAGAAGACAAACCGAGAAGATAAATCTGAAACTAATTCTTGCAGCTGGGCTGGAGCCTCTATTTTTTTCCCTAAAGAAAGGCAGGGAGAAAAATAAAATAGCACACACTGTATCCATATTCATCTATATATACCTCAGTATCTTTTTTTTTTTTTTTGAAAAGTTTGGAACAAATGACACATGTCAGGAAGACATGGGGAGACACTGGCATCCTGTGGCAGCCATGCCAGGGTGAGAGTAACCACATGGCAAACCCAATGTCCAGGAACATTTAATGCTCCAGACTAAACAGTGCTACATTATATAAATAAAATACAAAAAGACTCAGAATTTTATCATCTCACTAGTTTTAATCTTACTGCTCTTCAAACACTCTCGGGAAGGAAAGCATCAATCTTATATATAGAAGCTGAGCTAGTTTGCTTCATAATCCCTCCTGTTCCAGAAGCAAGGTTTTTATTTACAAAATTATTTTCAAAGAAGACTCAAGTTTTTTCCTTCCAGCTCATTCTGAGCTAGTTATTCGGGTCAAAGAACAACAGAAAAGTTCACATCATAAAGGGAAAAAAGCAAGCAGAAAAAGTAATTAGCATAGAAGAACAGGCTGACAGGAGAATATTCCATAGATAAATAAAAATGGCTTAATTAAGAACTGATTCAAAATATACACAGGCTTTATCTCAGAGTTTGTTTTTGCCATGGGGTCTCCATACTAACAGCAAGTAGCAATGTACTTATGACAGTGGCAGCTGAAACCGTCCACCACAGGTTAAATCCCAGCTTTTGGATTGGGCAAATTAGTTAAACGCCTTTGTGCCTCAGTTTCTATAAAGTGGGATTAATAATAGTACCTATAGAGTTACCATGAAGATCAGAGGATCTGAACAGCATTGGGTGACACACAGTAAGCGTTTTATAGATGTCTGCATTTGTTATGAGGTTACTATTTCAAGAATTTACAGTCATGAAATAAATTCTCAGTCTAGTTGAGCTGTTATTTCACCCACCAGGACAATCAAAACTTCTGTGAGACATCAAATTCTGCTTTTAGAGCACAGGATTCTTAAGAAACACTCGAGGTGAGATCAGATCTAAAACTCATCTCTGCTGCCAGTTGATAAGGGGCAGACACAGAAATAGTTGGGGGTGCTGGTGGAAATCTTCCCCTTTTAGTGTCATAAAGAAATGTATCTAGGTTCTCTCCAGGAAATTAAAACATTGTTTTTCCTCTTTCTAGGTGACCTACAGCAACAGCTGCTCTGGCTTTTCAAAGACCAGCCCATGTTCACCTACAGTTTCCCCTACGTATCAAAGAAATAAATAAGGAAATAAAAACACCCACTATCAGTGCAAACATGCTCAGCCTCCACTGTTTCTTCCACTGGCTTCACTGAGCCAGGTGAGACTTTAGGATACTTCTTGGCAGGTTAATTCCCCATCCTCCTCTCTACGTCTCCTGAGGGTAATTTTTGATGGCTAGGCTTCCAGAGTTCCAAAGCACTAGCTTCAAAACCGGGGATGTGGGCAGCCCGCGTGGCTCAGCGGTTTTAGCACCACCTTCAGCCCGCAATCAAGTCCCACGTCAGGCTCCCTGCAATGGAGCCTGCTTCTCCCTCTGCCTGTGTCTCTGCCTCTCTCTCTGTCTCTCATAGGTAAATAAATAAAAATCTAAAAAATTAAAAATTAAAAAAAAAAACAGGGATGAACTGGTGAAGAGCCGGACTCAGCAGCCAGCAGGTGGGCTCACCCACTCGTGCTGGGTGACATGTGTGCTCAGGAACTGCAACCTCCCCTCACTATAGAAGAGTACCCACACCTCACTGCTGACTTAACATCCACCCCAGTTTAGCCTCAGGCACAGCATAGCCTTCTTAAGTATCTGCTGCTATAGTGACAGAAATTAGATGAGATCCAGGGATATGTCAAGTGTGACATTCTCTTGACCAGGAAAACACCTCTAACTAAACTCTAAGACGGATGTTTGGCTGCCTTCTGGTCATACAGTATCTCTGTGCCCCTTTCTCTGTACTTCTGACAACCCTGCTGCCCCCCCCCAAGCCCTCCACCCCCTGCCAAAAGAACTTTAAGAATACAGCTTAAATGGGCACATGGGCCAGAGGCATAGGAAGAGTGTGGAAGCTGTAACCAGAGGGTGAAAGAACAGAGAAGGCTGGGTATGGTGGTGACCACTTTGTTATGAGAATGCTGCAGGACAGGCCCTGTCCCCTTCATCCTAAAAATGAGAACACCAGATTCAGAAAAGTTAAATGACTTGCTGCCCAGCTACTAAGTGGCAGAAATGAGAGATCTCAGTCCCCAATTTCTCATCCTCATCCCTTCTGATGGGAGAAGATACCTGTTTTTAATACTAGAAAATCTGCAAACAATCCAAATAGCTGACAGAAGAACGTATGAGCAGCTGTGGCCCATCAGCCAGATGCACTGCCACCCAAGAACCCTATCTGTGGGTAAGTAACCAAACAAAATCATGAACACCTGGTTTTTGAAGAGGATTTAAGAGTATCTGAAAATGCTCATGGAGGGGGGGAGACACAGCAGAATAGGTATCTACTGATTCACAAACTGGTTTGTTGGATTTTTAAAAAAACTACACATGCAAATGGAACAAATCTGTGAGTACTGCTTATGGGTCCTTCAGCTGACTAGATATACACTGAATTTCAAATTTTCTATGGCTAGCATGTATTTTATTACAGAAACGAGCAGTAGTTCATGGGCACAGAGGTCACAAGTATGTCAAGATGACAAAGATCAGAATTACTAAGACGTTTGCTATCTACTCCAAAATAACACACAATTTCTGTGTTTGCTATACTTTCTAAGTCACAAGGAGAATATAAAAGAACTGTGTCAATGACCTTCTGCTACCTGTGCTGCATTTGATTTAAAATATATCTGATCTAACAGCTTAGTCAAGTGAGCTAAAATCGCACGCATTCCGCATTTCCATCACTGCATTCTGCTCCAAGTATGGGCATGACCTCCCTTTCCTCACATTGTGAAAAGCTGAATCATACAGCACCACCAAATCCCACATCAAAGATCTATTTTTTAAAAAACCAGGATGGAGGGGTGGGGAGGGGGAGATAGACCTCCTGCAACTACAAATTTTTTTTGTAAAACAAATGATCAATTTGATGACCCCTCCTTTCCTGGGCTTGGGCTATGTAACTGAAACGAATGACTGCATAAGTAACACACTTAAAAAGGTGTTTGCAGAGTGAATGCTAAATACAGAACATTTTCAGTTTGCAGATTTTCTTGCAGCTTTTCTTGTGGCCCTCAAGTCACAAGGCAACTAACTCTATAGGATGTTCACTGATGCATTTAAAAGTACACATAATAGGGTCTCCTGGGGGGCTCAGTGGCTGAAGCATCTGCCTTTGGCTCCAGTCATGATCTCAGGGTCCTGGGACTGAGCCCCAAGTCAGGCTGTCTGCTCAGCAGGGAGTCTGCTTCTCCCTCTCCCTCTGCTCCTGCTCCTTCTCATTCTCTCTCAAATAAAAGATTTAAAAAAATTTTTTTAGGGATGCCTCGGTGGCTCAGTGGTTCAGTGTCTGCCTTTGGCTCAGGGTGTGGTCCTGCAATTCTGGGATCGAGTCCTACACAGTCCTACAGTGTTTTTCCCTCTGTGTCTTTCATGAACAAAGAAAAAAAAAATAAGTACATGCAATAGTTTTGAAAGGCTTAAGTCAATACAACAAAGTCACCTAACTTTTCTTATAAAGTCCCTGAGCTGCTTGCTGAAATTCAAATGTTCAACCTTAAGCAAACAACTACATTTTGTTCACCTAGTCATTTTTAGCACATCTGCAAAGAACGACCAACCCTAATAGGTTCTGTTCAGCTACACCAGTGTCAACATTTCCTTCATCATCACCTTTAGACTCTCTTACTGCTCGATTCCCTGAAAGACCCCCCTCCCACAAATCCTAATAGCACAGATAAAGACTAAGATAACTTTACCCTCGGGGGAGTCATGTCAGCTCTGTGGGGAGGTATGCACTATACCAACCCAAGGATACAAACGCGAGCTCATCAGTATCAATGAGGGAGGCCAGACATGCAGCTGTGCCAATTTATTGGCAGCAGGGAGGAGGCATTTAAATAATTTCTGTATCCTAATCAAGAAAATTCTATTACTCCTTCTCTTCAAAACAATCTGAGGTTGCAGATATCCGCTGTGACATGAGCCAAACACAGCGGCACTTAGATTAAAAATGCTGATTCTATTTGGGGAGAAACTGAGTCACCTATGTCAGGGCAGAATGAAGAGAAATGGTATTATTCGAGAAGATTAGTGTCAAGTGACTTAGGGCTTAAAGAGAGCGATCCAAAAAATTCCTGAATCTAAAGGTACACTTTGAAATATAAAATCTTTAAATTTTAGTATTTAATTCTAAGCGAGTATTTTCTTTTGGGGGGGGCGGGTGGGTGAGGGAGGAATTCCCTGTAACTCCTAATCATTTTTAGGAGAAATAATTCCGGTCTTAAAAGGAATCAAATTATGCTTTGAACAACAGAATTTTAAGCTGAAGACTGAACGAGATGCAAATTGTGCTTAGAATATAAAAGAAGTACCTTTCTCTTTCCTTGGAACCTTTGACACAGGAGTCGAGAACACAAACTCATTTTTTGGTTCAGAAAGGTCAGGAAATGAGACAGCCTTGCTGGACCGAGTCCTCGTGCGGCGGGAAGATTTAGGCGGAGCAGCTGCGGCAAGGGCCTTTTCTTCCGGGTTATCCGTTTCAATGGTGGCCGTCTCTTCATCTATGCCCTGAAATGTGCCCATGTGGCTGGGATCTTCCACCTTTTCTGTAAGCTTCTTCCTAGAGCCCACAGCAAGGTCTGCAGTTGGCACTAATGAGGATTTTTCTAAAGCTGCTTTTGCAGCATCAGTCTTTCTTTTAGCTGGGGTGTTTCGGGTCGACCTCCTCTGGCTGCTGAGAGCTCCTGACCTCCTCTTGGGACTTCTCACTTCCCTAACAGCCTTAGATCCGGCATCTTCAGGTGGATTAAGTTTTCTCGGCCTACCACGTTTCCTAGGTCTACCAAACTCTGCCTGAAGACATGGCTGGGATGCATCGAATCTGGACTCTTCTGGGACATCTAGCGTGCTACTTTCCCTCTTTGTAGAACCTCTGTCAGGCTCAACAGGTGGGGGCTGGTCCATGGACTTTTCATCTGGCTTAAGTTCTTTACTTACAGAAGCTTCTAGATTAGCACTCCTCAATTTTCTGGTACTTCCGCTGGGACGGTCTACTTTACTAACCTTCAGATCTAGATCTACCATTTCAACACCTTCCAGATAGTCTATGGATTTTTTAATTCCTTTAGAAGTCTTTTTTTTGGTAACAGATGAAAGGTTAGTTTCTCTATCTGGTTTATGTGGTGTCTTCTTAGAAGCTTCTAGAGTGGCACTTCTCAATTTTCTGGTACTTCCGCTGATGCGACGAGCTACTTTACTAACTTTCAGATCTAAATCTACCATTTCAACAGTTTCCTGATATTCTACAGATTTTTTAATTCCTTTAGGAGTCTTTTTTGTAATAGATGAAAGCTTCATTTTTTCAGCTGCTGTTTCCAGCAGCTGAGAGGATTTTACCCTCCTTAGTTTGCTATCTGGAGTAACTGCTAAGCCCTGTTCCAGAGGAGGATCACTTTGTAACGTGTCTTGGTCTTCTCTTCTTTTCCTTCCTCTCCTAGGAGTCACAAAATTTTGAGGTATTTGCTGGTTCTGAGATACAACTTTGACAGATGGTGCTTCAGAACAGGCACCTTCAGAAGCCTCAGAAATTTCTTTCCTTTTCCGAGTCCTCCTAATATCTGAAAGTCCTGGTGTGTCAGGAGCTGTGACAGCTGTGGAATCTTCCTGTCCTGCTGATCTGACACCCAGGTTCTGGACACGTCCTCTCCTGCGAGTTCTGGAGGAAATCGTGTCATCAAGCTGGCTCATGTTTATAGTCACTGTACTTGTTTCCTGAACAGTCTTCAACGTAGATTTGACTACCTTGCGGACAACCCTTTGGCTTATTAAAGGTATGTTTTCGTGAATGGACTGCTGTTCCACTGAATCTGAAGTAATTTCTTTACTTCTTGTGTCTTTAATTACATCTAATAAGTTTTCTGCAATTGCTACTTTAATTGGTTCAGGCACATATGGTAAGGTCTCTACCTTTTGGGACTCCCGATCGCTAGTTCTGACCGGTGGCAGCTCTGCCACGCATCCAGGGTCACTATTTTCCTCGCTGCATACAGGTTTTTCCTCGGCTGCTGCGTTTGCTGCTGGAGCTAACACATTAGATGCTGCAGAATCCCCTGCTTCCAATTCTCCTTCTTCACCTTCCAGTATCAAGGTAAAGTTGCTCTGAGCCCCAAAAAGTTCCCCTTCTACTTCGGCAACGTCACACTCAGCAGAGTCTTTATTATCAGGTAAGTCACAAAACTGCTGCTCAATGGTATCAAAATTATATTGGAGCTTAAGAGTCCCTGCGGGGTACAACTCACTAAATGAAAGACTCCTAGCCTCGTGTCCTGAATCTTGAACTCTGAGCTCTTCATGTTCAGTCACCTAAAACGAATTAAAGATAAGAGACTGGTTAAAGAATTTTAATGTGTACATTTACTTTAACCTAAAGCATAAAGTTTTTTTTAACAATCGCCTCACCCTTGGTATATGAATTGTTAAACATAAACTACATTTGATATGGCATATACTTATGGGTTTACTTTCTAAAATATCCATTTAAGCAATCAGACATTATTACTCAGTCAAAATAACTAGGCAGAAAAAGATTCTGAGATTCTGAATGGAATTAAAATAGAAATTCCACATTTCCCAAGCTAAAAAAGACAGTCTTTACAAAACTTTGAAAATTATTATGATGCTAATTTAAGGACTTATTCTGTTCTCACCCGAGAAAAAATATTAACTGGAGAAAAAGAAACAACCCCCAAATTGTGTTTTATTTAATGGTAATCCCCAAATTACCTAACTAACCACACTTTTTTTTCTAAACAGCATGATCCCCATAAGGTTGAAGAAGAATTCACCTACATAAGCTCCCTTGGGCTAGACTCAATCCTCTTCCCTTTGCTGGGGCTGCATAAACCATGAAATTCCTAAGGCTTTCAAGTTCAGTACCTCTCCTGCAAGGGTTTGGTGGAAGAAGGAATGGTCCTTGCATTTACCTTTTGGTAAGGGAGGGGGAGAAAAAGGAGGAGGCAGAAAGTAACAGAGATCTCCTGACCAAGAAGGTAGAACATTACCACCCACCTAGACAACGACATTCCCACTCCCCAAACATCCAGTGAGATGAAGACGGGAAATACCCAGAAATGAGGATTCTCACTCATGCCATGCCCACAATTTTTATTAGCTTCCCAGCTGAAGGAATGGGGACTTTATCCATCCATTTTACAGTGAGAATACTCATGAAAATGAATATGGACAACCGTGACACTTTTATGAGTTAAGAAACTTCCCAAATACCACACAATCACATTTCTATAAATATTAGAAGAGGGTGTTTTTTATCTTACATTCATTTATCATATAAAGTTGCCTATTGATATTAAAAGAAACATGGAATTTTTAGAAACCATCAAGTCATATTAAGTACAAAAAAAAAAAAAAAAAGAAAGGAAGAAAAAAGAAAAGAAAAAAGAAAAGAAAAGAAATCCTTTCTCATGTTACGAAAGTTAAACACCTGCCAGGTGATGATCACTCTCCTACAAGTACGCATGGGGGGAAAATCCTGTCTAACGGTATTCAATTATTTTCAAATGCTCCGAATATTTTTGCTGTCATATTTGTCTCAGTATCTGTTTTCTCATGGCTAAAAGAACTTCCATTTGAACCAGATACTCAGCAAACATTAAATTGTTAAAATTCTGACTTCTTTAACATAGGCTTTTTAGTTTTCATGAAAAACAATTTCTCACTTAAAGGATGTGTTCTTTTATATTCCACAAGATATTTACATGCTTTCTCTAACATACACTATTATAAAGAGGTTTTTACACAGTAGTCAAATAAATGAATGCATTAGGTTTAAACTATGGCTTGAAACCCACTAAACCAAAGCTAACAACGAAATAAAAAATTAATTTTTTACATGAATTTCTTGAGGATCAGGAGAATCATCAGGAACGGGAGGCTGTGCTTCTGGAAAGTCGACACTTGCTTTCAGGACATCGGGTCCTACTTTGTGATCTTCTTGTAAGTTCAAGATTCCTTCCTGGTCAGGCTTATGTTCCGAGATAACAGGACTTGCAGGGACAGCAAGCCCAGAGTCTCCACTGTCATCGGGCCCATGGGCCACAGCTAAAACAAAAACAAAAAGACATACACACTATCTGGGAAGCAACAGAAAGGCAAAGGTGTATTGTACTTGAGAATATTTCCTTCAACTGTCCTAATGCCCAATAGTCTCTCACTTCTCAAAGGGGAAAGGCCTGTGAGGGTTTGTGTATTAACAGTTTAAACAATATGTATTTGCTTTTCTACAAACACTAAGATAAATTTTATGTTTAAAAATGACAACATTGGGGTTTGTTGCTTGCTTTTTTTTTTCAACTCAGGTGTAATTCCTGCCCTTAATGTGAAAATTCCGTCTCAGGACAACTGCTCTGAGGAGCCCAGATGTCCGCTTCCTGTTTTGTTGGCCTGGAAATCGTGTTTCTAGGGGGATGAGTGACAACCAGCTCTTTCTGCTGAGCAGGATGGAATGACAAGAGGAACCTGCCTCTGGACTTTATCTTGCTGTGAAAGGGACAAGATCTCTCTCCTTTGGCAGAAAGCATCCAAATGGCCACAAATATACTCTACCACTTAAAAAAACGAGAGGGCAACAGCTCATTAAAACAAAACCCTCATTTTTTACCTTCCTCTTTGCCAAAGTTTTCTGTCATTAGCACTCATAATTTTATGTCATTTGTAGGAAACCCAACACATTTTGGGGTGGAGGAAGGGAGGGGAATCTAACGTCATTAAAATAAAAAACCCTTTAGTGTTTAGGAAACTAAAAGGGGTTTTGTTTGCTTGTTTGTTTTAAAGTAAGCTCCATGCCCAGGGTGAAGCCCAACACAGGGCGGGAGCTTAACAACCCTGAGATCATGACCTGAGTGGAAATCAAGAGTCAGGCGGGCTCAAATGACTGAGAAGCACCCCTAAAATGGAATAATTCTAAAGTCAAAGTAACATACACATTGATTGTTACCTGCTCTAAATGCAGAGGTGCAGGTCTCAACAGATATTAGTCCTTCGTCTAAAACTGGCACCTGGGATTTCAGGGTGAGGATTTTCCTTTAGAAACAGAAATATATACATTAGCGTGTAAGAAGGTCTCAGCTGCTCCTCCCTCCTCTAACCCTGCTCTTTCTGCTACGTGTCATTTTGGTAATGAAACGTGAGGTTCAGAGAACTTAATATCACCCATGTTCATTTTGAATAACACTATAAAATTTATAAGTCAGTATACCAAGTAATGGTACATTTGGTATTCCCATTTTCTAATATTTTACTTTGTTGGCAACAGTGGCATGGCCTTACACTACAAATAAAATTATTTTAATCTTTTTTTTTTTTTTTAAGATTTATTTATTCACAGAGATGCAGAGAGAGGGCCAGAGACACAGGCAGTGGGAGAAGCAGGCTCCATGCAGGGAGCCTGATGTGGGACTCTATCCCAGGTCCCCAGGATCACACCGCGAGCCAAAGGCGGCGCTAAACCGATGAGCCACCTGGGCTGCCCATAAAATTATTTTAAAATGCTGGTCAACATAAATTACAGTTATGCCAGTTTTTAACTAGCTGTAAGTACATTCTTTTTTTTTTTTTAAAGACTTTACTTATTTATTCATGAGACACACAGAGAGACACAGGCAGAGGGAGAAGCAGGCTCCATGCAAGGAGCCTGACGTGGGACTGGATCCTACGTCTCCAGGATCATGCCCTGAGCCAAAGGCGGTGCTGAACCGCTGAGCCGCCACCTGGGCTGCCCCTGTGAGCACATTCTTAAATAAGTGTATTTGATATTATGGAGTTATTTCCTGCATACTCAGTAAAATCAGGGTCAGTATTCTAGTATTATCTGGAAAGGGTATGAAAAAAGACACAGTGGGAGACCAATGGGACCTTAAAAAAACCTACATTTTGGAAATATAGGGACAGTGATCCCTTATTTTCAATTGGCCCTCTACCAAAATCCAATGAAAGCATGCGGGTTTTTTTAAAATGGGACAAATAAAATTATAAATTCAAGAAAAAGCATACATTTGGAATACATATCTACATTTCTTTTTAAGATTTTTATTTATTTATTCATGAGAGACAGAGAGAGGCAGAGACACAGGCAGAGGGAGAAGCAGGTTCCATGCAGGGAGCCCGATGTGGGATTTGACCTCAGGTCTCCAGGATCAGGCCCTAGGCTGAAGGTGGTGCTAAACCGCTGAGGCACGGGGGCTGCCCTGTATACATTTATTTTATATATAATATAAAGATAAAGATAAAAAAAAAAGATTTTATCTGAGAGAGAGAGAGCATGAGCAGGGGTGTGGGGACAGGTAGAGGGAGCAGATTCCCTCTACCTGAGCAAGGAGCCCAATGCAGGGCTGGATCCCAGGACCCTGAGATCATGACCTGAGCTGAAAGCAGACCTTTAACTGACTGAGCCGCCCCAAGCACCCTTATAGTGTATTAAGACTTATCTCTGTGTCACAATGTTAGGATAACTAAGAACCAACAACTAATAAATTTATATTTAAAAAGGACATAGGCTTGTCACGATGGTGACTATTCGCCCAGATAACTGGTGACCACAAAGTTTGTCAGGTGATTCCTCCTGCTTTGTAATTGTTGAAATTCTCTGTCAAACCCATTGCACAAACCCATTGCAATAAATATTATTTTCATTAAAATTCAAGAAACATTAGAATTAAATAATAAAACAATCCAGATAATCCTTTTATATTGTTTCTTCCCATGTTTTCTATAGAGGCCTGGCAAATATTCCAGCTAATTAGGGTTTCTCTCATCTAAGTGAAGGACATGATCGAGTTCAATGTATGAGGGGTGACTATTACGATACTGATATTCATGGGTGGTGCGTGAACTCCCTTAGGACTTACAAAGCAATGAACTCTTTACGGTATCTTAAATGACCATGTTTTATGTAGATCAATCTTAGTAAATCACTCTTACTACTTCATGATAAGCAAAGCTGCAACTTTTCTCTATCCTCTAGAACAGAACTGCTCTAAGTCATGACATGCAAGGTGTCCAGCCTTACAATGACAGGGGGAGGTTTTGCCAGATGGCCAATCAATCACTTCATTGATTAGTTCAGCTGACTTTTCAGGAAAGGAAGTTGTGTGCTGGTTTATATTCCAATACAAGCTGCTTGTCTTGTTGCAGGCCATAAACTGTTTGGGACCTGGCATTAGGTTGTTAGACCACACAGAGCAACACTGACCTGTGTCATCTAGAGTAATTCCTGCATGCATAAACATTAAATAAAACTAACCAGGAACGTAACAGTTCAAGCAGTCATTAAAAACGAAAAACTGCTGGAGTCTTATATTTACCAAATGTATGGAGTCTTATATTTACCAAATGTAGAGAACAAAATGCCTCTGAGCCATGTCCCTTGTCCTCCGTATCTTGGTTCTGCAGGAAACCCATCCCACCAACCTGAAACCACTGAAACCAGGGCATGGAGGAATGCATGGCTGTAAGTGAAACTTCTGATCTTCAACAAAAACACAATCACCGAAGAATATAAAAGGAGAGCTGCCTCCATTCACCATGACTTTGTATATTCAGGAAATGTCTAATATCATTCTAAGACTTTAACGACAACTACTACATAACACACACTTGTACAAATGAACGTCCTTCATAACAGGAACCATTACCAAAGTGGGAATGCCCAAGGTCGAAATAAAAGCTACTCTATGCACAGACCGTGAAGCTATCAGTTCACCACTTCATCACACTGTTATTAACAGTTGGAGCTTTCCCTACTAACTTACCGTTCATGAGTTGGCGGTACACAGAGGGAAGCTTCCACTCCTGGAATGCGGTGTAAGTGATTTAAGTCTGAAAGTACCTCCTCTGCAACCAAGAGGTTCTTTGTCTCTGCATCGTCTACGGTGCCTACAAATCATGCATGAAGAATATTTACGATAATTTATGCCTAATGTTTAGCAAGCACTCAGGATCTTTCTTGGGTGATTACTTATTAACAAGCTTGCTGGATCTGCTTTTTTGTACTTTTAGGTTTTCTCCCTTGGCCTCAGAATGCCAACAGATTCTTCTAGTAGTCTGAACCCAGTGTAAGAACCCCCTAACCTACCACTTCTTTCACTTGTGGCTTAACCTGCAAGTGTCATACATGGATTGGCTCAGTCCTTAATAATCAAAGTGGTAGAACTATTACTCCCATTTTACAGATGAGGAAACAGAAGCATAAAGTTACTGCTTATCCCAGGCCTAGTAATAGCTGAGATTCAAATCTCGCCTTTTTCACCCAATAGTCTGTGCTATATAATCCCCCCCCACGAAACGTCAAGACATTAATATTCCATTTGAGACTGCCTAATCTTTTTAGGAATAACTAATGAAGATACTGTCATAAACATCCTCATCTGTTTCATGATTTAAATATTTTAGTGGAACAGAGCATGTCCAGACTGATGTATACTTGGAGACAGATGCCATTCACAAGGACAGTCCTAGGCTCTTAGACCAATTAATAATGCTTGTGTTTATTACATTAGAGACATCATAGCCCCAAAGAAACTAGTATGACACAGATTTTTATCAAAGTATTTACCTTTACAGATTTAAAGTTAGGAATGACCTTTACGTATGTTTGTTAAAACTGTGTGGGGGCACAAGACAGAAAAAAACAGACTAAATTCTGATCCAATTCTAAGCCACATCTCTCCCCTCTCTCTGGTGTTTCCTTGGCCTCTTCCATGCCTCCTGTAGAAGCACTTTCCTAACTACACTCCAAGTGCTTATTCGTTTATTTATAGTCCACCAGGCTCTAAATGACAGGCAGGCAGGTGCCATGTCTGCTGTATGCACTGTCTGATCCTCAACATGGACCACACACATGCAGGAGCCCACCTGTTCCACAGACAGAAGGAAACATAAAGACTCTAAGTTTGTCGGCCTCTAGATACTTGTTCTGATTGTCCGGTGATTATTTTGGAGCTAGGGATGGTACTGTTGGACCTGGTTTCTGAGCAGCTTTTGAGAAAGCTGAGGCTTCTGGACAAGTTAGAAACTGTAGGAACAACCTAGGCTATAGAGAGTTAGTATTATTACTTCTCAGAGCTCTAAGAGGGCCTTAGGCATGTGCATTGTGTCTAGAACCTAGGACACTATAATCACGTCATTCTTGGATCCTGATGCTTTTTTTCAGTGGAAAGAATTCTAGAACACATCTTATGAATGAAGTCCAGGAAAGGAGTTCTTACCTGCCTGTTTCTCCAGGTCTGGAGAAGCCCCTTCTGACTCAAGCACATCTTTATCACTGTCTTTCTTCGTTGGTTCAGCTACGTTAATGATTAGCTCCACAGAAGAGCTCACTGGCTTGGAGGCCACGAAAATACCTTCCAGGTCTCCTGGTGATGGTGCATCCTGATACTCCAAGGTGGTCTGGTCTGACTTGGTTGAAGCTCCGCTACTTTCTCTGCTCATATCCAGTTTCTCCAAACTCTGAGAAGGAGTGTCCTGTGACCTCACTTCTGCTTCCTGATGGTCCTTTTCAGGACTATTCAGGGAAAAGTCTGTTGTCTTGGCTTTGCTCTTCAGCCATTCACTTTTTGCTGGAACTCCACATTTCTGGAGAGGTGTAGTAACAGAGAGTCTTGTTTTGCTGTCATCCGCACCCTAGTCAAGTAAAAGGTTTTGAAAAAAAATTCACCAGGAGAAATCAGCTAAGTCTAAGCTCTCCATCTGATCATTCCCACCTGTCCTATGTTTGGTATTTCTCTAGACAGTCACTCAAAACTCACTTATTCTAAATCCATTCTCTCCAGACACATGGCTGAAAGTTAATGGTTGTTACTGTGTCCTTGATTGGGAATAGAACAGGATTTCCAAAAGACTAAAAACAGAATAGGCAAGATGACCCACTCCCACCACATGGATTCCTAATAACCCACAATAGAGCTTTGATGAAATACCATCTCAATAGACACCCAATAAGGAACTTTAGTAAGAAAGCCGCTACAACATAAGGTAAAGAACATGGACTAAGGAATTACAAGGTCTTGACCAAATAGCCATTTGATTATAGGCAATTTACTTGGTGCTTCTGGGTCCTCTTTTAAAGGTTCACTTGTAAATGATGGGTTTAGCTCAGCCAGTCAATGCCATGAGATTCTTTCTGAACTAATAATATTTTCCGATTTTTATTTTTGTGTTGTGCGTTCCCACCCCATTTCATGCCTATCAATGAAATTATATAAAAAAATCTATAGTCATCTTATTTGAATTGATTTATCTGGGGCTCCTGGGTGGTTCAGTCAGTGAAGCATCAGCCTTCAGCTAAGGTCATGATCTCAGAGTCCTGGGATCAAGCCCCATGTCAGGCTCCCTGCTCAGTGGGGAGGCTGGTTCTTCTCCCTCTGCCCCTCCTCCTGCTCATCCTCGCTCTCAAAAAAAGATTTATTTATCTTACCTTTTACTTGTAAAAGCTAATACAGTCTTCATTTGTTTCAACTATTATCAAACTTACTCCAGCAGTCTGTTTGGAGGCCATGTCTTCTTCCATGAATGAGATTCTAGTTTCCTTAAGCCGTAATGGAGGGGTGACAGACCTTCCAGGTGACAGAGAGGGAGATGGTAAAGGCGGTGTTCGGAGACCAGACCTTAAGATGGACTGAGGAGTGAACTCGGCAAATCCAGAGGAAGTAACCGACATGGCCAAAGTCTTAGCTCTCTGCAACAAAGAATGAAGGCCACCACCAGTGTTTGTAAACACCGCTTACGTGAGGATAGATGGATAGGTAGTCACAAGGCTACCTGTATACTCATCTCCAATAAACATACCAATATAAAGTTTCATTACCAATTACTGGAAAGAAAATACAAAATTCTACTCAGACATTTCTATACCTAAGTTTACAAAACCTAAAACTATGTCCATTCTAAAGGTCTTGCTTATTCTCAGTTTAAGTTCAACTTAAAAAAGAGGAAAAAGAGAGTACAGAGAGAAATTATTGAGTGGATGCCTATAAAACTTTAGTCAGGTGAAGAGATAGGACAGTGCGTATAGAAAAGAATTGAGCTTAATTAGAGCAAGTTAATACAAAATGATGAGCCTGACTTTAAGAATGTCATAAAAAATATCATCTCATCACAGGAATCCAACAATAACTGATTACTTATGAGAATCTTGAGGATTTATCAATTAATAAAAATAATCAGCATAGACACTGTTCAGCAGCAACCATTCCTTCACTTCACTTCTCCCCTAAAGCAGATGGCTGTAACCCACTACATTTCAATATTATACTCATGTTTTTTTCTAGATTGTTTCTGGTGGCAGGCACAAAATTACTCCTTGATTTAGAGAATATAAAATGTGATTTTTTAAAAGGATGAAAACAGGAATCACAGCCCTGGAGAGTAAATATCAGGTATTTTAATAAGCTCCTCAACTTTCTTTTAGTAATTATTTTAGGACTGACATTTGTTGAACTATCTTTTAATCACTTTGAAAAGTAAGAATCCCCTGGCTTCAGTCTCCACACTGACTATCCAGAAGCAATGGAAAGAAATGAAGGTGGAGTGCTTCCAGAACTCCATCCAGAACACTGGATAAGTTGCCAGCACACAACAGATTGAAACCATTCTGACAACGGGATGGGGAAAAGGTGCCCACTCCCTGCCACCACAAGTCTAGTTTTGTGGTTTCCCATTTAATAGTTTATCAGAGATGGTGAAGGAAAAGGAATTTAAGACAGATAGACTGCTAGGAAGAAGGAATAACAGTGCAGTTTCATCAAAGGAGAGAATAAATAAAAAGAAACCTGAGAACTAAAAGCATCTGACATAAGAAGGAAGAAACAGCAGCATGGGAGAAGAAATTGATGGTGGTGGTGGTGTGTGTGTGGTAGTGGTGGAGCAACTCAAGAACGTGAATGCTTTTTTCAGAGGTTTTAATTTAAGGTTTCAACCAGTAATAACCAGAGATCTGGGTTACTCTCAGAACACAAGATAATTGTTAACCTTGAGTACAACCTCAGGTTAGCACTACAGGTAAACTTAGTAATAAAGTCCTACTTAAGAAAATGTAAAAATACAATCAATATTTTGGAAAGGTAACACCCCCAAAAAAGGCCTAAAGCTGTCAACTCCCCAGAGACATTAGTTAGAGCTAGCTTATTTCACCTTGCTGCTTGAAAAGAATCCCCTAGCTTCACTATGAATGCAAGGTATGTAATACTCACCTTCACTACAAAAGGAGTTTCAAGTACACGTAATTCTAGCGTCCTGGAGGGACTATGAGGTGATCCTTTGAACAATGAACTGGACGCTAGGTATAAAGGAGATCTTTTGGGGGTTTGCTGAATAAATCCCAAACGCTGACAAGGCTGGTGCACAGGATGAACGACCAAATCCAGTGGTCTGTAATCACAGGACAAAGAGAGATCCGGGTAACTAATTTACTGAGGTATGATGAAAAAAAAAAAAAAAAACCAAAAAACTCATTATGCCATGTAATTTGACTTCTATATCCGCTGGTAAATATGGTAACCACATGAAATTGTAAATTCAGTCAAGGATATTAATGAAAATTAGGAATTCTAGGCAACAACAAATGCTGTAGTCCTCCACCTTCCCTTCTACCAATATTCACTGATAAAGTAATTTGCTATAGCTCATTTTTACGAACATGTAAAAATTCCTTTTATCTACATGTGAAGTACATAATGAATGTGGTTTGCTTTACCTTTATGGTTTCTATCGAAATAGAAGACTGAACTCCAACACACAGAAGTTTTTGAAACTAATGAGGTCAATGACAAAATGGAGCCTACACATTCTGAATGGTTTTCTGTAATGTCCTAGATGTAGTTTATAGAAATGATGAAACTAATCTCATTGATAAATTATATTAAGCATGCTTAGTCCCAATAGTTTAAAAACTTAACAGATAAGGAATTTAAATTCAAAGGTGAAATTTTCAGGTTATAATTTTTGATGGACCATTTGCATAGGTCACTCCTTTCCCAATTTCCTAATAGTCTATTTCATGGTTATATTCTCTATAATAAAAACAATATATTTTTACTTCCTCAAAATGACTCTCTGGCCCAGGTGAGAATAGCCAGAAAGGTACAGCATGTTCTGGTCCCCAATGCTGTGCCTTTCTTGTCCTTTTGTCCTCTACATTCAAATAAGATTTCACAACTGGGATAGCAGATGAACGCAGATCACAGATGTGTGCTTTAAGACCCAACCTGTTCCCAGTGGGAAATATTTACAGGAAGCATTTCCTTAATCCTTAAATGCTTGTTATCCTATACTAGGCACAGCTTTGAGACTTCCACCAAATCAAAAATATCCAATCGGGGGCAGCCCTGGTGGCTTAGCAGTTTAGCGCCTTCAGCCCAGGGCATGATCCTGGAGACCCGGGATTGAGTCCCATGTCAGGTTCCCTGCATGGAGCCTGCTTCTCCCTCTGCCTGTGTTTCTGCCTCTCTCTCTGTCTCTCTCATGAATAAATAAAATCTTTAAAAAAAAAAAATCCAATCGGGCCATTAGACATTTCTCTCTATTGTTGGTTCTAATTCTTTTCCTTCTCTCCTTTGTATTTGTAAACCATCTGCTCACTTTTATACTGAATTAGCCCATGTAGGTATTTTGTTAAGTGCCTTGGACTGTGCTAATATTTATCTCCAAAGTGTTCATTTATAACGATTGCTTTTCAAAAGCAGGGCCCGTCCAGCAAAGGTACCTACTGAGTTAAAACAAAATTCTTCTACTAATGAGACTTAATATATTTAAATTACACTAAAACAATTATCATTGCATGCATGCATTAGGTTTTAGGATTTCCACAAATCTTTGAGCATGACACACATTAGTAATCCATTTCAGATCATACATGTACACAAAGCATAAATTGCACAAAACAGGATGTAGCCTTACTATGTGCAGTGCCCACTGATATCACCTCTGCTAAAGATATACTAGTCACAATCCATTAAGTTTACTTATTACCCACTAATGCAAAGCGGAATTAGGGAATGGAATGATTTCTATAAATATAAATATTCACACCTCAATTGACTTTCTTTAATCTGAGTTCACCATAGCTTTGGAGGATTCTCAAAATACTTTTCTTTAGGTCCTTAGGCCATTAGTCATGCTTCTGAAAACTTTTATTATTACTCCCTTCCTGAATTCCCGATCTATCAAAGCACAAAGGGACTGAGAAAAAGGGACTTGTCGGGGGGAAAAATGGAACTACTACTAGGAAAACAGAATGACAGTAATAATGACTTTCATTTGAAATAATCTTCCTGGTAATTAAAGGAAAACAATCTCAATTAAATCTAACCACTCCCCTCCCCCAAAGAGAAAACCCCGTTTTAAGCTTTGAAAAAAATACACTCACTCTAAGCAACTTTGGTGCAACCATTTGTAAATTATTAATTTATTCTGAGTGCCTTATTCCATTCTATTATAAATTCAGGTCATTTTATTCCCAAAATAATAATGTGATTTTGTTCCTGATAAAATGTCAACAATCAAATTTACAACAATCAGGACCCTGATGTTAAAGACAAAGAATCAAACACTAAGACATTGTTTTCTCTGCTACTGAGGACACCAACATCTTTTGCAACTATCCAATATTCTTAAACAAAGCATAATCACAATTGCATCCTGGATGCAAAACTTCGACTTGACTATGTTTCTATTATCACAGTTTAAGGTGTCCAAGTATTACTGCATCTGAAGCCATGGAACACATGTCAGTGGACTCTGTTGTACAGGAGAGTTTAAATGAATTGACCAAGATTAGTTATGAATTATAAAAATAACCTTCATTCAGGGATCAATCAACAAGGAAGTGATATTAAAGAACTTAGTTAACAATTTACTTTTTGCTCATGATTTTTAATGAAAAAAAGTTTCCTTTTCTCTAAGCCAAAATTCTAAGTAGGCTAGGAGCTGGTGTGAAATTTCCTAAAATTACTGTACTACTTTCCAAATTATTTTTTAAAAAATTAAAAGCAAAACAAAAAAAAAATTAAAAGCAGTAGAAACTCATTCAAAAATTTAAAATACTATAAAATTTTAAAAATAATTAAAAATGACAGCATAATCATTTTCTAGCATTGTGACTTTAAAATGATATAACTAATAAGTCTTACCTAGAAATTTTTTGTGATGCTTTTAAAATTGGTGTTCCAACAAATGCCTCAGGCACTTGTGGATGGGGGAGAGGAGATGGTTCTCTTCTAGGACTGCAAAGAAAATAAAAATGGAACTTTTGAGTATATACTACAGAGAGTATTAAAATATGCTTTAAGAAGGTGGGATCAGGTAGGAGGAGGGCTTTCACTTTTTACTTTGTATATTTCTGCTTATTTACAAATAATAAACACAATTGCTTTTAAATTAAAAACAAAAAAAAATGTTCTTACAATAAAAACAGGCAACATAGGAGTTTTTCCTTTTTTACAAAGACTAATAAACTCTAAGGCTGGACGGTTGATGACTGCTTCTGATATCAAGGAAAGATGAACAAGCGGCAAGACCATAAGAGGAGTGAGGAAAACATACCTCTTGTAGGCTGAACTGCCACCTTTAGGTCCAGTGCATGCCCAAATCTCTCCAATTTTAGATAACACATTACTGATGAAAGCAGATCTTGTTAACACAGCCCCTGTTGCAGCTTGCTTTGTAATAGTGGATAATGGTTGGGGTCTAGAAACTGTAAAACAAAGACTGCAGGGTTCAATTTCTTCTCTAACACCAGGATTTTACTAGAAAATGAGTATGAAAGAGTGACTTGGGACACAGGGCTCACAAGATCAGCAACAGTTACAGGTTATACTTAGTTCAGCAACATTTCTATGCAAAAATTAACAACCTGGGTTTTTAGGAGTGTTGAAATTATTGTCCATATTCTCTAAAAATTGGATGGAAGTGTCCAAGCAAAATAAAACGAGGGCTTTATTCTATACTATGCTGAAATCATGCTGAAAATCAACTATAAGAACTTTCAAGAAAACTTTATATCTGGAAGGAGAAGGAGTAGAGTGGCCAATATAAAAGCACCACTGGAATGAAAGCAAAAATGAGCTAAATACAAGGTAACAATGGTTTCAGAAGGTAACCACTCAAAGTCCTTTCTCACCTAGTACTTCATGAGAGTCTTCTATTAGATCTTACCTTCTCGAAGAACTGGTGATGTGGACAGATGGTAAGGCTTAGCTTGTTCAATGGCTAATCTTCGCTGGATTTTAGGAAGGACTTTCCCATATTGCTCGACTATAGCATTTCGAACCTCCGATCTTTCCCGCAAACGAGGATCACGATCATTCTATTGAACATGACGTAATCAGTAAAAATTTAATTTCAAAAGCACCATGTTTATGTATTTACCATCTAAAACATAGTTCTGAAAACCTAAGAATGCTTTCCTCCTCTCTGTATCCATTCTTTCAAACCAAGGACCTCTTACACGCATCTGAGTGCACTATCAGTCCTCACCCATCCGTAAGGCCCTCCCCACCACTCCACCCCCAAGCCTCGGGTCTTCACCACATAAAAACAGTGGTTATCATTTATCAAGCATTTACATATGTCAGGCAACAGGTCAGCTCAGACACACCTCTGCACATCCCCACAAACAGAGACTGTCACTTTACAGATGAGGAATCAAGGCTCAGAGAATGTGTTCCAAGCACAGAGTGCAAAAAAGAATCCGTCTGACCCTCGAAGGCCATGCTCTTCGTACTATGTAACCTTCACTGCTCCTCCACCTCTTCCTCTCGTCCCCCCTGAGTCATTAGTCTGGCAAGACTGTGGGCAGTTATCTAAAGTAGAAATGGCATGTGTAAGAGGATTAGGTAAATAATAATGCCCTCTTTCCCACGTGCTAGAGAAGGTAAGAGGAGGATTCTCCAAGCTCAAGGATATAGAGAAGCCAGTGGTCACCAAATGACAAACTCTAACACAACAAAGTTAACCACTTTTCCTTTCCTCTTGTCCCCCACAACAAAACAAGTTTCACTATACCGAAAAATTGGTCTTCAGAGTTTGGTTCAGCCTCAGCGCAGAGACATAATTGGCACGCTGCAGATAGTGAACCAGAAGGAATTCATGATTCCGAACATTGGTGCTGGACTGCAAAAATCTCACCAAGCAGTCCTAGGAAGAAACAAAAGCACTTGTAAGCTAAGCTACCAACTTCTGCATTTCTGATGAGGTGATACCGGGGAGTCATTACCTGCTCGAGGTCTGTGAAAGGCAGCTTCAGCAAGTCCTCCATTAGGCCCGTTTCCTGGCAGACTTTATACGTGTGTGTCAGGAGCGCCTCTACATTCACACTGGTGGAGTGCTGTCGCAAGAAAGTCCAGGCCTCAACCATGTACCTGAAACCAGCGTTTAGCACGGGTTAGTGTTAGAAAAGCTGTTTGAAGTGTTCAAAACAGGTGATCCACCTACAGAATCTCAACGACACCTCATTTTTGTAACGCAAAGTATTCTCTGGGCTGATAGTAAACGCTAATCATTGTGTGGTGAAGTTTGCTGATCTCAATGAGAAGACTTCATGTGATGCTGTTCTTTATCCTTTAAGTGTGAAACAGGAAAGCAAAGTTAAGTACCCAGGAATTAGAAGACACAACCTAATATGGTCTGGATGGAAGACAAAGAGTGTGGTGCGACAGGGAAAAGCCGGCTCTTATAGAAACAGAACCCAGCCTGAGAGCAGAGGGACAAGAAGCTGGCAAAGACTTACAGACGCAACAGTGTGTTTATGGGACTGTGACAGGCATAGCTCAGTAAAAGAATATTGTGACTGATCTGTAACCAAGATCTGATCAGAGAACATGGGTTAAATTCAGTAGTTTTATAAACTATGTGGGCAGTAAGACATCAAACAAAGCAGTGTTTCTCATGACACTTAAGTATTAAAAAAACAATAAACAAAGCCTGTAGATGTTTACGTACTTAGTTAGGTAACAAAAGGTCTTAAAAGAGATAAACTAAAATTGTCAGAACTTTTGGAGACACTAGATAACTTTCAGGGCTGAAGTGGGTGCTAGAATAAAAACAAGAAGTACACAGGAGTATCAAGGCAGGAGTTTTCTTAAAAAAATAAAAATAAAAATAAATAAATTTAGGGATGGTTGGGTGGCTCAGGGGTTTAGCGCCTGCCTTCGGCCCAGGGCGTGATCCTGGAGTCCCAGGATCGAGTCCTGCATCAGGTTCCCAGCATGGAGCCTGCTTCTCCCTCTGCCTAAGTCTCTGCCTCTCTCATGAATAAATAAGTAAAATCTTTAAAATAAAAAAAATCATTTACCTAATTCAAAGTCAACAGGTAATTTTTATTTCAATGGATATCTTCATAAAAAAACTTTAGCTATAGTTATGAAAGTCACAAATACCAACACAAAGACTTCTTAATAAATAACACGTAAAAGAAACACAGAATATGTAAGCATAGTCATACCAATTAATATTCAGCATGAAAGCAAATTCTGGCAGCATCTTCCCAGATTTCTTGTGGATACAAAGCTCCTCAGGGAAGAAAAGGGCTCCCTCTGCTGACAGGCCAGGGCCAGCTGTTAATTCTATTATTTTGGGACTAGAATGTTTTTACATGTTCTGCAGGACTTAGAAAAGGTCAATAATCCAGATAAGTAACATATTTACTGGTATTGCCTAAAAATCTAAAACTGCCTTGTACTTCTCTCTCTTTTTGCCTTGTACTTCTCCGTGCACCAGGACAGGCAGGAGAGTATGGTTGTTATAAACCTGAGTATCTTAGGCAGGGTGGGTAATTTTTTTCCTATATAAAAAATATGGGAGTATTAAAATGAGTATAACAATTTGTAGATAAAAAAATATGTAAGAAAGATAAATGAACCTATCACCATCAGTTTTTTAAAACCCAGCATAGGGATCCCTGGGTGGTGCAGCGGTTTAGCGCCTGCCTTTGGCCCAGGGCGCGATCCTGGAGACCCAGGATCGAATCCCACGTCGGGCTCCCGGTGCATGGAGCCTGCTTCTCCCTCTGCCTATGTCTCTGCCTCTCTCTCTCTCTCTCTGTGACTATCATAAATAAATAAAAATAAAAATAAAAAAAGTTAAAAAATAAAAATAAAAAAATAAAACCCAGCATAGATGAAGTAGATATGGCACAATCTTGCTATTTGTTGAATCTGATTTAGGACAGGTGTATACCACCTTTACCATACTATACTATTCTATTTTTGTATACACTGAAATCTTCTTTTAGAAATGCTTGTACCAAAATCAATTTCAGATCAATTAATACCTAAATGGTAAGACAAAAACCGTAAAAGTGGTAGTAGATACCATGAGAGAACTAGAAAATAATGACGCTGAAGTGAAAAAAAAACACAAAAGCCAAATGAAAATACTGGTAACTCTGACTTCATAATTTTCAGCATAACAAAATCCATCATAAAACAAAGTAAAAAAGACAAATGACAAGAGGAAAAAGAAAAATCTCAGGATTAATATACCTAATACATAAAGAGCTCTAACAAGTTAGGAAGAATAATCCCAACAACACACACAAAAAAAAACAATGGGCAAATCATAAGCAGGAAATAGCATCTTTATGAAAGGGTGTGTTCTCTCATAATTACGGTGAAACGAAACCTATTACTATTACTACTTTCACCCGTCAGATGAATAAGTATCAACTGAAGGGCACAGCCTAAAGTGATAGGGTTAAAGTTGCCTGACCCTCACAAGGGCAGCATGCCATTAGCTACCCAAAATGACAAATGCAAATATCCTTTCACCCAGTAATTCCACTTCTAGGATTTTGCATCTTACAAACTAAATCTGCACCTGTGCAAAATGTGTGGTTTCCTAAGGCAGTGGTTAAACTGGCAAAGGCTGGAAAACACCTAAAATGTTCACTCAAGGTAGCAGGTTAAATAAATACTGTACATCACAAGGAACTACCGTGTGACAGTCAAGAATAAGGAAGCTCTTTTTGTGCTATTATGAAATAAAGCCCAAATTAAATAGATGAAAAAAGTATACTGAAGAAAGACATAGTGTGCTGTTTGTGCTGTTTAAAAGTCTTTGTGTGTGGGGGTGCAGGGGGCCGGGGGGGGGGTGCTGAAAGGTAAATGCTTCCCAAAACAAGCCTGGAGCTGCTTCTATCACTGATGTGCTGTGATCACTACTACGAACTTTTGGGGAAGAGAAAGCTCCCTAACAGCTTGTCATCGTGAAGGGTAAATTCTTCAGAAGAGCTGAGAAGATGAAGGCTACTCCACTGCCAACACTGACATAAATTTTAAAAATAAGAAAGCCCCCAAATTCCTACTACTCTCCTGCTTCCTATAGTTAAAAAAAACCATGATGGTGGGAAAAAATAAAATTATTTCAACTGATAAAAGGTTAGAAAGTCATTTCATTAAGGAACGCACGGGGGTTGTTCTTGGTAATACACCAGAAAAGACAGATTGACACACACTCTTATGTAAACATAAACACACTACCAACGCATAACTTTCATATACTCGAGGCAACAAGACAAATTCCTTGACTCACTTCACTGCAGCAGTCTGGAGCAGCACCTGTAGCATCTCTGAGATATGCCTATACCGAATCAGAACCCATGCAATCTCAACAAATGCTATTTTAGGTGGTTCTATGGTTTTACTTCTGCAACTCCTCTACGGGACACTTTATGGTGCTATTTTTCTTAAGACTAGATAACTGAGCCTTTACTTAGAAATAAAGTTTAGAAATTACACATGTTCCCGTTATCATAAACATTAACATGCAATGTTTGCTGTGGCTAAAAGGGAATGAGGATCTAGCAAATCAGAGAAACGTTGTGAATGAATCAAAGGATAACAGGATCACAGAGGAAAACCAAGCAACCTTTCAAATATGTTTTCCTGAGGTTCCAACATGTTTTTTTTATGTAAACATTAGTGATCAAGTACCACCCCTTTCAAGTCAGTAGAGCAAGCAGCTTATATGCAACTGAAAATAATTTACATGCTGCCTGACCACCCAGTACTGGGACTCTAAACCCATTTGTTAAACCTTTATCACCGGCTAGCTTCTTTAAATTTCTTTTTGCTCTTCTGTTCATTCCAGATTTGTTCAGCTAGCCAAAGACATATGGCTAATCCAAGTTATTTCATTTCAACAAGTACTTCCTAATTCATTACTTTTGAGGACACTGGCTGTTTCTACCTATCTAGCAATTCATTATTACGCTACAGAACTCTTCTATCTTAAATTTTTAGAGGTTCAACCCTCTCCTCTCAGAAATACATTCTGTTTAACCCAAGAGAATAAAGAAAACTTATTTTCAGAGTGCTGAAACTGAGTGGTGTGTTTGGTTCATAAACGACAATCTCAGATAGTAAAGTAACCAATTTCTAAAAATATAAAAATGACTAACAGAACTGACCAAAAACAAACAAACAAAAAACTGAGTTGTATAAACAGTTCCAATCTTACTAAGAAGTATTAGCTCCAAGTAATTTCCCCAACTAATCTGGTTAACAAGAAAACCCAATAATCAGAATGCTGTATTTCCATTTAAAAAAAAAAAGATTATTTATTAGACAGAGAGAGAGACAGAGCGAGAGACAGCAAGTGCGCATAAGCAGGGGAAAGGGCAGAGGGAGAAGCAGACTCCCCACTGAACAGGGAGCTCCAAAGTGGACTCGATCCCAGGACCCGATATCATGACCTGAGCTAAAGGCAGACGCTTCACTGACTGAGCCACCCAGGCACCCCCAGATTGCTGTATTTCCAATCATGCCATTTAATTTGTCATATATGACAAATAAAATTACTGTAGTAACATATAATATATACTGCTGTAATATAAATGGCAAACATATACTGATTAGAGAACATTAAAATATGGCAAAGGGAAGAAAAGAAGCAATGCAAAGATAGGATGTGCTCAAATCCAGTTCAATTTAAGATACAAAATCTGATTTTACAACTCAATAGGACTTCATCCTTCCTCTATATCTCTTGCTTCTCTTCAGCACACTTAACCCTGAACCACCCACATGGGACTATCCAACACTGCCAATTAGCAACAGATATAATTCCAAATCTCAGTTTGGTTTCCCCTTTTACTCAAGGGTACTCTTTCTTCATCCTATTCTAGGATAAAAGGTTTTCTGTATTTTTGTTAATGTTGAAAGATAAAGAATCCTAAGTATATTATACAATGCAACCAAAGCAAGATATTATATATTGCTACCGTTTCATCAATTCCACTTTGTTAAACATATGTGATCAAGAATTTGACAGTATTTTCAAAATATGTACTTACTTATTAGAAAGCAAAACGGTGAGATGAAGGGTAACATCATCACCACTGGACACTGTAGGCTTCATTGTCTGAATATATCTGAGTGCTTGTCTGTGCTCACCCTGACTCATGAAGGCTTGAATAATTTTTGAATGTTGCCATGACATAGGTTTCACGGTAGCTGGGTGAAACAGAAGATCCAAGCCGCTCTGCAAAAATGACACAATAAGCGATAAATGCAGATATAACGTGCTGCATTTAGACAAAGTAGCTATCCTTTAAAAAGACAGGCAATCCTAAAGTCACAAGCAACACATTAAATATAACCTGTAAGGATCTACTTTAACCCACAATATGTTTTATTTTAAATAAAAGCCTTATCAAAAGCCCTGTTCTTTTGAGGCCTCATTAAGCTATTATATAAAATCCTTCTGCCTTCAACTTCATATATCAATGCCAAGTCCTGTGTTCTACAGCAATTGTGTCTCTAACAGAGCAATCACTGTATTTGCACTATTAGTAATTTTTTTATTATTTATTTCCTTCTTTAGGCAATATAGGACCTGGGATTCTGAACTGTTCCATCTCTGTATACTCGCTGCCTACAATCATGCTTGGTAAAGGTACTGGCTGAGCTGAGTCCACTGTAAATTACTGCAGAAGCAGACTGTATCATATCTGAAATGTCACATTTAATCCACAGCTATGTACTCCTTCTGAAATGCTAATGTTTTATGAAAGTTTACTCTAAGTGAGCAGACTTACCCCATAATCATTATGATCTATCAGCCAAAACCCTTGAATAAGTTTCACCTGGCCCCAAGGAATGGCAAAGGCAGTGGGAAATGATTCAATGCAAGAATCTGTTTTGTTTGGAAAGGAATACATAATATCAAGCAACAAATAAATGGTCTTTCAAAAAGAGAATTAAGGACAATAACAAGAAGAAAATATCCTATGTATCTATTTAAATGAGGCAGGAACAGACTACAGCAGCAAGAGGCTGGAAGAGACCACTTTTAGGATTCAACAACAGATATCCAAGTATAGCAGTGTTATTAAATGTGGGTCCAGCCAATCCTACAACCACTTCACTCATTCTCAACAGTAAGTACCACCGCAAAGGACATGAACTAAAGTCCACTTTCTTCATTCCTCAAGTCAGTAACTTACTAGCAAACTAAAGAGAGAGCTACAGACAAAACTCCAGGTACACAGTAGAACCCAGCAGCTTAAGCAAACACACAATGTATTGTCTTATAAATTATGAATGACAGATATGACACATTTTCACATTAAGAAACAGACATCAGTACAAAAATACCGCAAAGACCACTGGGCTCAGACTGAATGAGAAAGGTAACATTAAGCTAACTTATCGTGTATTTGCAGGGAACACGTAAGTTAACCTCATTAAGAAAGATCATTTGGCCAGCAATGTTTCAGAGCCACTGTTGGTAACTTTGGTGCATAGTTTCAGGTCTGCCATAGACGATCTAAACCCAACCAACAGACCCTGGGTTAACCTTCCTTTAAAAAAATTGCAAATGTGAAACTAAGATTAGACTAGATGTGCAAGGTTCCTACTACTCTCAAATTTTGATTTGGGTAATACATGAATCATTTGACAGTGTTTTAAAGGATACAACAGCATGTTTGCTTGTTTCAGTAACGTCGTCCAGTAGATATATGTCAAGCAGTGCCTATACAAGGGATAAAAAATTCAGTGTGTTTTATATATTAATTCACTAACACTGTTTTTCCCAGGCCTAGTGCCAGGTGTGAAAAATGCAGCTAAGCACATCCCCCGCGGCCCCTGGGCAGCCCTGTGGTCCTCACGTGGGCCAGTGTTGTGGAGAACGTACATGCAGACTAGAGGGAGGGTACTTTCCCGTGCCGCCTTCATCCCGCTTCCACAACCTCTCTACACCATCTCCTAACTGAGAGACCATTTCGTCAATCATCAAGCAATCCGGGTTCCACTTCCCTCTGCAAAAAGGGCAACATTTAGGATTATTCAATATTTGTGTCAATTCCTACTATCAGAACGATAAGCAGCAAACCCTCAGCGATCCCCACAATCAAAAGAAGAGAATTGAGAACAGGAACCCATTTAGTATCACGTGAAGTCCAGTCACTAAGAATCAGATGAACCCTGCTAAGGCCTCAGGCTTGGTCATCAATAAACCCATGTGCAAAGGTCAGGTCCTGGGGACAGCATGATCCTGCTGCCAGATGCCGAAGACTATGCTAGGTTTTACCATCCACAGCAAACTGCACAAGAGCATGGCAGCTGGTCGAGCATAAACATGCTGCAGTTCAAAGTCAAAGAGCTATGATTTCCATTTTACTACTTGAGAATCTTCTGAGCCTAGTGATTCCTTCAAAAAATTTATCACTGAGTGCCCACAAGGTGGTCAGCAGATGCTGTCCCTGCATCCTCATCTAATAACAACCAGGGTGGCAGCAGTTCCTACTTCCTATGCTTCCTGGGCAAGTCAAGCACTGCATCCACTACTTAATCTTTCTTTATACTGACTGTGCAACTTATGTGACAAGCAGGATTAGAAAGCATAGCAAACCCATTCAGAGACACACACTCAGGAACTAACAGATCTAGAATTTTAAAATATGCCTAACAGGGGCACCTGCCTGGATGGCTCAGTCAGTTAAGGGTCCAACTCTTGATTTTGGTTCAGGTCATGATCGTTCAGGGTTGTGAGATCAAGCCCCCTGTCAGGCTCAATGTTCAGCTGGGGGTTTGCTTGAGAGTCTCTCTCTCTCTTCTTCCATCTGCCCTCCCCCCAACTTGCATACATTTTCCCTTTCAAATAAAGAAAATCTGTAAAAATAATGTCTCATAAATCTCTCAAATCGGTGCTCAGTCTCCAAGATTATTTCTTCTAAAGCACCAAACTTGCCACACACCAAATTATACCTAGCACAGCCTTTTAAGTACTGATTTCTGGGTGATTCTGACAACACTCCTGGTTTCCGCATTCGTGAACCACTGCTCTCAACATTGCAGGCTATTCTACAAGTATCACTCCCACTTGAGAAAGAAGGCTATCTAATTCCAGAGACAGAACCCTGCTCTTTCTTCTATTATTTCTGCTTCTTTATTCCAAAGGAACCAATGAGGCTGATACTCATATACTTTAAAAAAGAGAAACAAAATAAGTCAAAGAAAACAGTGGTTGAAGCACTGAAATGCAACTGTTAACATAAAGAATGTAAAACGCCTAACTGGTGGTATGCTTCATGGTTTTTGATGTACTGGAGCTATTAGTTCTTTTCAGAGTAAGAATCCTCAGGAAAAATACTTGCTTAAGTGATAGAATCTCCTCTAATCAATCAATTGTGGTAACTACTTTAATTAGGAAATACTGAGTAGCCATACTCAAGTTATCAAATAAAGGTATAACCATTAGGTCAAAGCAAAGAGGCAAACATTACAATTAAAATAATGCTGGTAACAAATTCTGTCACTTAAGAATTCCACACATTTTTTCTTTCTGTAGCATGATGAATTCTGTTCTGATAAAGCAATCACTTCTTACAAAAGCAACTTCTATAGGTTTTAGAAAGTTCTGGAAGGTACCTTGCTAGACGCTCACACTTCTGTCGACGACTGGTGTAATAGTTCTGAATTACAGGGTAGTTGTAGTACAACCTGGACAACTGCACGGCATCATCTAGATTTTTTTTAAGAGTTGGGAAAAAAGTCAGTAATATTTCTAAAATATCCCAACAATACCTAAAGTTACCCACATTAATATTTTACTATAATTGCACAATGTTTAGTCTGCAGGCTTCCCAAATTTAAGTAATATACGGCCCTTTATTAACAGATACATAAATGAAAAAAGTCTCTCATGACGGTCCATAAAAAAACAAGGATGCTGGCTTAAAATTCTGGAAAATCTATTGCAGAAATGATTCCACTCCCCTAATCCTTAATCATTCCCTTAATTTCAAATGATAATCTAAAAGCAAGCAGTATTTACTATTTAAGTAAAAACCAAAGAAAATAATGAAAGAATAAGATCAACAGGGACAGAAGCACTTCTAAATAGAATCTAACGTGCGCCCTGGAAATGTAAGAAGTTAGAGGCTTGAGAAGTCAAAACAGGGGTGCCTGGGGGGCTAAGTGGGTGAAGCATCTGTCTTTGGCCCAGATCATGATCTCAGGGTCCTAGAATTGAGCCTCACATCTGGCTCCCTGCTCAGGGGAGAGACTGCTTCTCCTTCTCCCTCTGCTTCTGGCCGTCCCCACTCCTTCCCTGCTCATGCTAATAAGTAAAATCTTTAAAAAAAAAAAAGGTGTTCTAAACAAACACAGCAAAAGTCAAATTCTCTAATTCTTGGTATTGGCATGAATTACTAGATGAAAAGAGAACAGATGAAATTATATTGCTTGATGGCAAATCATCTTGATCAATAAGCATATTAAGAGAACACTTAAGGAGAAAAAGATCAGAGTATAAAACCCACAGTTGAATGGATCTAAATTATAGCTGATGATATCACTGAGCCCTTTTTTAGAAGCTACGTTTTGTCAAATATTCTTTCATGTCATTTGGCACAATAAACATGTATGGAAAGCCTGTTTATCAAGCATGGGGCAAGGCACTTGAGATACAAACTAAGAACGAACGTAAGACTAGAAGAAAATTAAGAGAGATGGCAGAAGAAAGGAAATCTGAAAAGTACAACAACCAAATGATAGAGACTAAAGAACGTTTCCATTAACATCTACAGATTCAATAAATGTTTTACCTAAGCCCTCTGGTAAAAGCCCAGAATGACAGAACCAAAGCACCACTTGTGTGTACTGGCAAATGAGCCGGGTAACCAGGCACTTTTTGTGTAAGTCCATGAGACCTGTGAATAGTGGAACACCAGTTGTGTAACGTTCAATTTATCAGCCACAAACGACAAATCAAGACACTGGACAGTTCTCAAAAACGAATTATCTGGTGACCTTTAACAGCATACATGGGGTTTTAAACACACTTAGCTTGAACAAATAACCTCCAAAATGCTGAACTAAGTAAGTAACTCACTGACTAGGCAATTTAGGTGAACATGCTTCCACCTTAGCTACATTTCCATTTACCTAGTTTCAGAAGTCAAATGTAGACATTAATGTAAACTAGTACAGTAATACCAATGTAGGTTGTTCAAACCAGGCTTTTAAGTGAAATTAGCAATCTTGGTTAAATGGCAAAACAGAGACAAACATTTACAAGGATTTCTGTGAATAAAAATTTATATATAAGAATTCAAAACTCTACTGGAAGTTCATACACGCTACCTTAACAGGAAGTTTAACCGTCAAATTTCCCAAGCTTGTATAAGCATGGGCTCATGGCACATCTAATAATGTTCTGTGGTTTCTATTTAAAAATAAGTAAAAATAAATTAAAAAGGCCTCTTTGCACTTTGCACAATGATGCATCTAAGACATCTATTCTTTCTTGGAGTAAAATCTAAATTAACTCATTCATGTAAGATAAACAGCACACCTCGCTCGGTGATCTCTTGGGCCTCTGTGGTAAAACAGTTTAAGACGGAATTAAGGTTGCTGAGAAGCAGGTGGCACTGTTGGAGAGACTGTATGGTCTGTGGGTCTATGAATCGACACGAACCATCAAACAGTGGTGTACCTTGTGGGATAAAATACAAAATTGGTTCTGACACAATACATCTGAGTTACTTAAAATCACAAACAAGATTTCTCAAACTCCTATTAATCACAGAATTAGATTACACATTAGATTTACAAAAACAAGGCTGAAATGGCAAATGATCTGAAGAAACCCAGAAGAGACAAATACAAATTCCTAGTTTTTTAAGACACAGAATGAACAATGGGATAAGAAGGGGATGGAGAGTCAACGGGAGATTGACTAGAAATTAGTTCTAATCATTAAATGCTTCTCCCTCGAAGAAATCTTTCATATCAGATCTTTTATGTACCATGATGTTTTGTGATGATTTTATAAGCACTTTTTCCACCTCCAGTCTTCAAAAGTGATTAATACTCAAAGACTTATTAAAATAAAATCGCATGCTTGTTACAACTCATTGTAGACTTGATTATCCTTTCATTTTAAACTCAACAATGAGTTTACAAATTCATTTTTTGGGAAAAAAATGGGTATTTTAGTTGCTACTGGCTACATCTTTTAGGTAAGATTTAATTACATTAATATTTAATGGGTAATTGGAAACCAGAAAACAGATGTTAATTAGAAATCCTTCCTAAAATCAATTAGCAATAATCGCGCCTCGGATAAACCTCATTGGCTATGATACTGCCACTGTGCAAAGCTTCCTTCTTCAAATCAAATGATTTCCTTTACTTCCAATACATTTAATATGCTACACTTTGTATTTTAATTATGTTTAGATAAAAAAAAAAAAAACAACTCCATTTGGGACACCTGGGTGGCTCAGCAGTTGAGCATCTGCCTTCAGCTCGGGGCATGATCCCGGGTTCCTGGGTTCAAGTCTCGCATCAGGCTCCCCTTGAGGAACCTGCTTCTCCCTCTACCTATATCTCTGCCTCTCTCGATGTCTCTCATGAATAAATTAATAATTAAAAACAAAAAAACTCCATTAACCAGTAATGAAGCTCAAGGCAGCAGTAATGGCTGAGTTACCAGGTTCAAACCTGAAGTGCCACATTATGCTCAAAGTATAACAAAGGCATATAATTTATGAATGGATCTGAATTTTTTTACATGAATTACATAACCAGTCCTGAAGACATTTTCCTCTAAAAAAAACCATTTTTTTAACCCTGACTCTGAAATACCAGGTGTTTGTTCTTGACTTTAACCGATTACTGAAATACTTAAAATTATTTCATGTTTAAAAGTTTCATAAATATGGCCTAAAATACCATAGAACCCCATGTCTTCCTAGTAACACGGCAGCAGATTCTCTACTACGAGTAACTTATTTATACAGTACACTTATTCATCATTGACACATGATAGAAATAGCAAAAACAAATAATTCTAAATGAACTTAAATCTTACTTTTATGTACAGGGCAATCATATACCCTGAACATCATTTTTGCACAAAATGGGTTTTTGATATTTATAGGACACCTCAAAACTCAAAGTGTATGACAGACGAGTAAAACTGTCAAGAAGAAAAGATTACTTCAAATGACTGATGACATCTGTTAGAGACGGAGGTTTTTTTTTGCCCTCCTATTCAGTTGTTTTATAGTCATAAATATTTTAAGTAGAAAGTGAGTAAGCAGAGGAGCTTCTGAGGTTACCTGGCACATTCTCCTAACTCTATCTTCAGCATCCTTCATAAATTCATCTCCTAAGATCAAAGATAAGGGTTTAACTCTGAAACTCAGTATTGCAGACATACTAACATGTTGCCAGTTTAACAATCTGTTGCAAAATCTTGCTCAAAAAAATAAATTTGTCAGGGTGCCTGATTGGTCAGTGGTACAGCGTGGGACTCCTGATCTTGAGATTATAAGTTTGAGCCCCACACTGGGTATAGAAATTACTTAAAAATAAAATCTTTAAAAGAAATGGTTTTCAGGAGCTTGGGTAGATGTCTGCCTTCTGCTTGGGTCATGATCCCAGGGTTCTGGGATTGAGTCCTGTGTGGGGCTCCCTGCCTGGTGGGGAGGCTGCTTCTCCCTCTGCCTCTGCTGCTCCTCTTGCTTGTGCTACTCTCTTTCTCAAATAAATAAAATCCTTAAAAAAAAAATGGTTTACAAGTTCCAAAATGAGTAAGTTATTATCGTCATGTACTTAAAACATAAACCAAGGTTAATTTTTTAATGTAATACTTACATAGTCTGTCAAATTCCTCTTTTGTAAAAACCACTTTATTCCATGTCCATTCAAGAACAAAACGCAGATTAGCAGCAGAATTTGGTTGCTCTTATTTGTAAATATCAATGGGGAGGGAGGGAAAATAATTACAAACAAAAAAATTAGTAACTACAGTGAGGAAATCTGACAGAGACCACACTGAGCAATGCCATCATCAACACTGACAAGAGACACAAACTGGTACCAAGCCCAAGAGATACAGCAAGGAGAACATCACTTCATGTAGTGCGGCTGTGAAAAATGTAAAATCTCCATCTAATTATGAGGAAAAATTAACAAGCACATTGAAAGGCTGGAAAATTATAGGCTTATATTCTTTAAACATGCCAATTTCTTGAAAGATAAAAGCCTAGGAATTGCATCAGAGTAAGAGAGATTAAAAGAACATAAACACTAAACGTAAAGCATATTGTGGGTTACATTCTGGACTCCCTATCCCTATAAATGCTACTGAGGACCTTACTGGCATGATTAGTAAGATTCCAATCAGATCTGGAGATCAGATAATAGCATGTATCAAGGTTTTCCTGATTTTTTTAAGTACAAAGTGGTTTTGTAATGAATGCTCTTGTTCTTGGGAAAAAAAACTAAAATACAAGTCAAGGAACGTGATGTCCTCAACTTATTCTCAAATGACTCAGCAAAAATGTGTGTAGAGTGTTTTTTTTAAAGAGGATACACAACAATGGGGATGAATTTCAGAGAATTTTGCTCAAGAGTCAAGACAAAAGTTATATATCTACTATATAAATTCATTTTTGAACATTTTGGAAATGACAAAATTACAGAAGTATAGAACAGACTGGTAGCTCCTGGGGCTTAGCAGTGGGGGGAGGCAGGTGTGGGGGACAATGTGGGGGTCCTGAGACATTGTACCAGAGGCTTACCAGATCTGCAAGGGGAGGGTGATAAAAGGGTATATAGGATCCCTCTACATAATGTCTTAAAACAGCAAGATGACTATAATTATCTCAAAGTTTAACTAAACTCTCCAAAGGAATTAATAATTTAGAAATTTTAAATACAAAAGTACTTTTTTATTTGTTAAAAATTATCATCTTGGGACACCTGGGGGGGGCTCAGTGGTTAAGTGCCTGCCTTTGGCCCAGGACGTGATCCTGCGGTTCCCGGATGGAGTCCTACATGCTCCCTGCATGAACCCTGCTTCTCTCTCTGCTTGTGTCTCTGCCTCTCACTGCGTATCTTTCATGAATAATAAATAAAATCTTTTAAAAAAAACAAACTAGCATCTTACCTTCTTTTGTCCACTTTTTGATACATCCAGTCAAAAGTCCCAGGCAACTTGTGTGGATCGCTGCTGACAATATAGCTTCTAACTGTTCTTCCTGAATCACACATTAAAAAGGGGGGGGGGGGGGATAGTAAGAATTGAAGAAAAGGATATCTGATTACAGACTCAAAGATAGCAAGTTCTGTAAGAATACAAACGTTTAGGGGCACCTGGGTGGCTCAGTCGGTTAAGCATCTGATACTTGGTTTCATCTCAGGTCATGATCTCTGGATCCTGGGATTGAGCCGCACATTGGGCTCCATGCTCAGCTGGGAAGTCTGCTAGAGATTTTCTCTTTCCCTTCTTCCCCTGCCTCCTGCCCCCCTGCATGCATGCTCTCTAAAATAAATAAATCTTAAAAAAAAAAAAAAAGAACACCTACATTTAAAGGCTTATAAAATCATGACTCACTAGGCGGCTATAAACAAAAAGCCAGACAGTAACAAGTATTGGTGGTAATACAGAATACCTGGAATCCCCATACACCGATGGTAGGGATACAAGATGGTAAAGCCACTTTGGTAAACTGCCTTTAATACTGCATCACCTCATGACCCAGCAACTCCACACTCAAGGGAAATGAAAACACGTGCCCACACCAAAACTGTTCATGAAGCAACAGTATTCATCATAGTCCCAAACTGGAAACAAGTCAAATGCCCATCAACTAAAGAACGAATAAATGAACTGCAGTACGTACACTCCTTACAGACATTACAGGACACAGACGTTAAACAAGATGAAGGGCTGACACATGCTACAACACAGATGAATTCGTATAAATAACAAGGAAGGCTATGAAGACAGAAAACAGATGAATGCTTATCAAAAGCCAGGGGTGAGGAGGAGGGAGGAAAGAATACGGGGGTTTTGTGGGGGCAATAAGTGTTCTAAACTGAATGTAGGCAATAAAATTATTAAAAAAAAAAATAAAACTGAATGTAGGGATAGGAGTACAATTCCATGGATTATTATTATTATTTTTAAAGACTTCTTTATTTATTCATGAGAGAGACAAAGAGAGAGGCAGAAACACAGGCAGAGGGAGAAGCAGGCTCCATGTAGGGAGCCCAACGTGGGACTCAATCCCGGGACTCCAGGCTCATGCTCCAAGCTGAAGGCAGACGCTTAACCGCTGAGCCACCTAGGCATCCCCCAGAGATTTATTAAAAACTATGGAATTATACATTTTAAGCAAGTGACTGTAAGATATACCTGTGTCTTAGTCTGTTACTTAAAATCATTATAAATCACACTGAATATCCAAGAAATCTAAATTCCATTCATTCAAGTAGCAAACTTTATTTTATTTTTATTCAAACTTTTTTAAATGAAAAAAGAGGAGTCAAACAGGAATAGAGGGGCTACAATATGATAAAGGTTCCCCTAAAATGAAGAAAGGCATGACCCCAAATTGGACTCCAGTAAAGCAATTTACATTGACATCAGGGACAAAATAAGAATGTCTGCTGGTACCATTATCTTTACACAGTTTGAAGAAGTTCTACCAAATGCTGTGAGAAGATGACAAAAAATGGAAAAAGAAAATAGAAGCCTGTATTTGCTGATGACTGCACATCTTGAAAATCTAAGAAATTCTAATGTGGTTAAATATATATTAAAGTGAATATACAAAAATCAATTGCATTTTTTTGTACTGGCAATAACCATCCAGAAATGAATACGTGAAAAATGTTCTACTAACAAAGAGCAAAACTATAGAACACTTAGGGATAAAAATCAGAATGAGATTTGTTAGAACTATAAACTCTTGCTGATAGAAAACCAACCCTGAATAAATGGGAACATATAACATTTACACTTGGACAAAATGATGATAAAAATATCAATGCTCTCCAAAATCAATGTGAATATAACACTTTTCCAAAGAGAGTTTCGGGCAGCCCAGGTGGCTCAGTGGTTTAGCGCCGCCTTCAGCCCAGGGCGTGATCCTGTGAGTCCCAGGATCGAGTCCCATGTCAGACTCCCTACATGGAGCCTGCTTCTCCCTCTGCCTGTGTGTCTCTCTGTCTCTCTCTGTGTCTCTCATGAATAAATAAATAAAATCTTAAAAAAAAAAAAAAAGAGTTCCAATGGGAGTGCTGGATAAAATCATCTTATAATTAATACAAAAGAATAAATGCCTATAAATTGACAACTACAGAAAAAAAGGGGCCACATTAGCAAATATTAAAGCAGTATCTTAAAATGGCATAGAATTAGATGAGATTAAAGGGATGAAATAAAAACCCAGAAACAACGCGGTACAGACACAGGAAATTAAATAAATGTGGTATGTCAGTCAGTAGAATGAGAAAAGGATATTCTGCATTCTAAACTAGAAGTGTATGTATAGCACAGCTGGACTCTTCATCATCTGGGAGAAAGAACAATCAACCTTTGATGTGACACACAAAGATAAACTGAAGCCTTAAATGTTAAAGAAACATTTAAATCTTACATTTTTTTTTAAGATTTTATTTATTTATTCATGAGAAACAGGCAGAGACATAGGCAGAGGGAGGAGTAGGCTCCCTACAGGGAGGGATGTGGAACTCCATCCCAGGACCCTGGGATCACGCCCTAAGCCAAAGGTGCCCAGGTTTAGATTTTTAAGCCAGAGCTATAAAATATATTTGACTACAAAAATATCAACTTGTATGTAGCAAAAGATACCATAAAACAAATCACAAGGAAAACAGTAGGGGGGTATCTAGAAGGCTGACAACAAAGATGGTAAATATGTATCATAGATTTCCATAGCCAACCCAGTAAAAAAAAGGGTTAAGACCTAAAATATGAAATTAACAGAATACTGACCAGCCAATAAAAATATAAATTGCACTTATATCTTCCTTTTTGTGTACATGAAGAAGGGATAAAGAGATGCATGAAAGAAAAGTAGACATAAAACCCATGCACTATAAATATAAACTAACAAATGATTACAAAGTGGACACTGATAAGACTACCACTCGGGTTTAGATTCAGAGTATTCGGCAGTAACATGGAAGCTCTGTGTCTGCTGCCACCCAACCCTCCCGTCCACCATGACAACCACAATCTCTCCCCTGCCTTCTGAAGCCATCATTTTCTTGCTTTTCTTTTTTGCTTTACCTCTACATGTGCATCTCTAAAAAATATAGTTAATTTGGTCTGTTCTAGGAATGAAGTTAAAAAAAAAAAGATACAATGAAGAATGGTCAACAAAATATCAACAGTTTCATGCCTCCATACACTTTAGCCAATTTTCTAAGTTCAAATTATTCATGTATTATTATACATAATTGGAAAAAACCCAAAATGCATTGGAATACCAGATTTAATCACAGAAAACATGAAATGCTGTTTTATTCACGTGGCTGAACTATAGGTAATTTTTTTCTCATTTCAAATTTTTAAGATATTATTGCTTTAACTAAACTTGCCAATAATGTAATTAGAAAAAAAATCTGTATCAATAAGTTCCCTAAAATGAGAAAGTTAAATGGAGCACTTCAAGTGCCCAAGTCCCTGAAGACCATGAACAGTAAGTCCTCTGCCATCACCCAGCTGGAGCACTGGGCAGGGTGTGTCCCTGACAGAAGGACAGGTAGGGCCACCAGTGCCAGACTTACCTAAAGTCTTTTAATGAACCCAAGTCAGAGCTGCATAAAGCTATCTTGAGTCTCGTGCTTTTTCTACTTGTCTTCTTGAGGGCAGGGAAATGGACACCTACTAGCCTGAATGTGTATGGCTGGAAATCAGCAGCCTCATAGTTGGATTGTGCTGTTTTATCAACAACCCTCAATGTATTCTTGGGCCATGAGACAGAAAGAACAAATCTATCTCTTCCGCACAACATACTAGCAATTCTTCTGTAACTCTCACCTGGTAGATGGGTTAAAAAGACCATACAACTCATGATGAAATAAAGAAACCTCATAAACTGCTGTAGACTTTCTGAAAAAAAGAAAATGCTTGCTATCTATGGATAACGATGGAACACAGCCATTTACTTTTTGCCTCTGTATCATCACCAGATCCCAATGATGATTGTTAAAAGAGCAGAGGAAGGTATCAATCGAGGGCAAAGAAAAGAGAAGACATCGTGGGGCAAGACAGGTCACCCAAATCTGTGAACAGTAGTAATGAGGAAAGGTGATGGACCCAGCGATGTGAGGGAAACTGTGTCCTCAGGTCCTCACAGAGGGGAGTGGTGTGAGAACAGAGTTGGGGTAGCTCTCCGAGCAGTCAGCCTAAGTTCTTGGAGAGACCACACACAGAGAAATTGGGGGCAAGGGTGGTCAGACACAGGGCTGGAAGCAGGCAACAGGTAGACAGTCTACAGAACAGCCAGTCACATACCCTCATTTTACAGAAACTTGGAACCTTCTCACAGGCTTTCAGAAGATACTGGATTCAAATAAAGCAGTGATTCTCAAAACACTGCATCAGAATCACATCAAGAGGGCACCTGGGTGGCTCAGCAGTTGAGCATCTGCCTTTGACCCAGGGCATGGTCCTGCAGTCCCGGGATCGAGTCCCATTTGGGCTCGCCTTGGGGAGCCTGCTTCTCCCTCTGCCTATATCTCTGCCTCTCTCTGTCTCTCATGGGTAAATAAATAAAATCTTAAAGGAGGAGAAACAGGCTCCCTATCAGGAGCCCAATGTGGGACTCAATCCTGGCACCTGAGGGTCTCACCCCGAACCAAAGGCAGACGCTCAATCACTGAGCCACCCAGGCATTTCTTTTTAAAAAAATATTTATTTGAGAGAGACCGAGACAGTGCCAGCGAGCAGGGGGAGGGACAGAGGGAGACAAGTAGATTCCCCACTGAGCAAGGAGCCCCAGGCAGGGCTCGATCCCAGGACCCTGAGATCATGACCTGAGCCAAAATCAAGAGTTGGACGCTTAACTAACTGCGCCATGGTGCCCCCACATCAAAGGCTTCTTAAAACACTGAGTGCTGGCTCTACTCCTGAATTTCTGACTCAATACTCCAATGACAGAAACCAAGAACAAGCTCCCAGTGATCACATACTTTTGTTCTATACCATGAGATCCACCTAAGCCAAGACGATTTTCACTCATGTGGTCTTGTTCCCTTGCACCTGTGCAGTTCTCACAGGAGCTGGAAAATGGCTCCCGGCCTCTTATAACAACTTCTATTCATGACGTGTCTGAGGCTGCCATGATGGGCTTCCTGTCCTACAGCCTTCTGTACAGCTAAGTGAATCTGGTGTCAAGTTATGGCCTACCGAGTCCTGGGATTACGTATTTTAAGCCAAACATAAGACCACAGTACTGATCACACAGAGTGAGCATTACACTACTTAATCTACTTTTGCAGAAATTATTTAGCAGATTTTAATTATGATAGAAAGCTAATAACGTAATTCAGAAGGAACAAGAGCATTCGACATCATCTCACCTGACTTAAACTGGATGGGTGAGTATCAGTAAGTCTTGGTGACAGAAGGCCAGCCATAAGACACCGATTATAGCCATCAGGTATGAATTCACTCAGAGATGCTCCTGACTTCTTCAAAAACCTCAATGTCTGTGAAAATTGATGAATAAATACCAATCAACACACAATTTGAAATAATCAAATTTAAGAAGTTAATAAACTCATCACTCTACACTTAATATTTTGATACTGATTGGAAACTGTAAAAGACTCTCACTTCTTGCAAGGAAAAAGGTTTATGGGTTGAGCTAAACCAATACATGCTAGTTATGAATAAATCACTGATAAGGGTACTTTGGGTGGCTTTTTGTTTTTATGATGGGTAAGCCTATCACCTCTAAAGCTGACACTCAGTGACAACAGATCTTAATGAACACCCCCCACACCCCACACACAGCCCTGCAGTTTATTCCTCCTGATCTAATGTAAAAGAGTTAATATGAAGTATAGATATGGCATTCATGCACATCTAGCAGATTATCAACCTCAAAATCTGCCACTCTGTGTTTTCCTGGAAAAGTCTTTTTCGATCTATAGTCGAAATTACCCACTCCATGGCAGGCACTGTGCTAGGCACCTTCTTTGAGTTACTCCACTTATTCATAAACTTCCTGAGATGAAAGAGGAGAATTAAGAGTATGAATAAAAAGGGATATATATTGTTAAGGCACTGACCTACTTCACTCTTTTCCTTAAGGTTCAAGTAGCTAACATCCACACAACCCCAATACTTCTTCTGGGAGGTTGCCATCAGTAACTGATGCTACTAGTTGCTCATATCACAAACCTAGCAGAAGCTACCATTTAAGCTGAAACAACAGTTTATATAATTAACACTAAATAAAAGTTTAAATCTGTGATCTGACTTTAGTTCAGTAAGATACACTCTATCTACATAGTTGTTACCTACCTCCTTTTGAAAGCCATTACAAGTTACATGAACAATTCCTGAGTTTAACAAACAAGTGGCATCTAAAACAAAGATGTAAAAAAAAAAATCTGCTTACATATTATATTTTAGATGGCATTAATAAAACAACACTTATCCTAACAAGAGACTGCTAGGCAAGATATCAAAATTATTACATACAATAAATTTTAAAATAATTTTTCCAGGTATTTCTATCCTGATAAGATACCAAACTTCAACATAAATAATAGTTTTTTTCTAGCAAATCCATAACAGTGGTAATTTTTTCATAAAACATCCAAGTATTAAAATTCTCATGTACATATCAAATTAATTTCCTAAGCATACCCATGTATTAACTAACGGTAATGAGATATGACCAGGTAACTATATACATACATACACACACACACACACACACTATACATATATATATAATACACTAACTACGTATTGCCCATTTATGTACACACACACACACACACACTATACATATATATATATTACACACAAACATTCTCGCGTGTATTATTTTTCTCAAAAGGCAATGTTAAGGAAATACATACCAAAATTGTAAATATTTGCGTTAAAAAACTGCTCAGGAGGTGGATATGAAGGAGGGATTCCTCGACTTAAGCTTCTCTCATTTACTAGTACATCCAAGATATAATGTGGGTACGTCTTATTCACAACAGACTCCAGTGACCACAATGCAAAATAAGAGCAATTATGCAGATACTCTCCTGATCTAAAAGAAAATTTTACAAAATTATCAAATCACTGAGCTGCCACACATACAAATACAAAAAAAGAGAGGGAGAAATCATACCTTAATGAATCTGGCATTTGTGCATGATACCAACGATTTATGTCAAAAAGCCCCAAATACATAGAGGGCTTTCCTTGTCCATATATATTCACCTGCCAGGTAAAGACTGAAACACTAGTGTCAGGAGACAGAGCTAAAAGAAAGAACATAATTTTTATACATTGAGTAATCACAAAGTAAAATGATCTCAAATAAAATTTTAGCAACATTTTCTCATAAATTATGAAGTTTTAATCATACTTGATATGTCAAAGCACATTTCTATCACTCATTCTGTAAGTGGTACCTTTAGATCTTGTAAAGATATATCTTATATCTTTACTGTTTCTCCATTTCAAGAAGATTTCATTAAAAAGTACTAACCAGCAAAGTTATTACTGGTTTGTTTTCGTTTAACATTTTGGCAACTTTGAGGTACTAGAGGGAAAAGCAGACAATTATTTGCATTTTCTCCTAACAAGGGCAGACAGCCAGTACCAGAGATTGTCAATACTGAAAATGGAAGTTGTGAGGCACCCAGCTTTCTAGTGGAGAAGGGCTGCTCCAACTCTATGGGAAGGGGAGTGAGGGGATAGAGACAAGCACCTGGACAGTGGTTGTGGGGAACGGAAAGACAAGAACAAGTAGGAGGCATCAACAAGTAAGAGCATCGACAAGAGAGAAAAAAGCAAACATCTGAGACACATCTAATGGGAAACATAAAAGCAGAGAGGAGTAGGGAATAAGAGGTAGAGTCTGAAGAGTGGTATTCTGGGCACTTTTAGCTGGATGTGAAGACTGGACCACAAACACAGACGTAGGACAGGCACAGAGGATGTACCCAGGATGGAGGAGCTACCCATGAGAGTGAATCCCAATTTAAACACACACAAACAGGACTCTACTCTAGGGAACATGCCCAGAGCTGAACGAACCTACCCCAGGACCATATTTCTTTCTCACAGCCACCCTTTGCAAAAAGTACAACTGTATTATTCCACTCACAGGTGGGTAAAGGGAGGCTCAGAAATGTTAAATAATTTGTCAAGGGTTACAACTAGTGACAAAGCTGACATCTGAAGCTACACTGGATTCCAAAATCTATGGCATTTTTACTGTGCAGCAAGGGTTGTTTAGCAGGAAAAAGGGATGATACTAAACGAAAGAGAAAAACTAAAGACAACCAAGTCATGTTTGCCATATGTGTCAAAAAATACACAAGGAACCATTATTTTGACTATTCATACTAGTCAAAACTAGAGACCATTCTTGTGTGTTTAGAGAGCTGGATTAAAATACAATGGTCCCCCCCCAAAAAAAAATACAATGGTCCCTCATTTAAGGGTCCTTTGATCTACTCTACTTGGGTTCTGCACAGCAAACTGGAAAGTAAGAAATACCAAGTATCTCATACAGACCTAAAGCAATTCTATAATCAGTATTCCAATTTTTTTAACTGCCAGGAGTATGAACTCTAAAAAGCAATATCTGTCATAAATCTTAAATCAAGATAAATATTAAAATCAAGCATTCCACATGACATGTAAGACTGCTTTTAACCAACCTTCATTCATACCTTCCTCTCTGTCGCCATGATATCGATATTTCTCTATACTCTGGCACCCCAAAAGTTTGGTATTACTAGTCTGTCCCCTCAAAGGAAACATGCCACCTGTGAGGTCCAGTGTGTATCTCTCTTCACAGTACTCTAATCCCTGAAACATAAAATGTACACAAATCTCTATCTTAATAGAATTCTAAGCCAGAAGACATTAAAAAATTAAATGTTCTCTGAATTTAAAAATTTTTCATACAATACAAAGAAAACACAAACTTAAAGAATAAAGAGAACAAATCACAGAAAAAGGCTCTGAAATTTTATATGGCTTAAACACAAACAAAAGATTAAACTCAGTTTCTTAAAAATAGTAACCAACAAACCTTCTAAGGCAGTCATCAAACACGAAAACCTTCATGTATTTTCAGCTAGAGTGTAAACTGGACTAACCATCACAATTATGTACAAATATACTCAGGCCAGCAAACCTCTTCCTGTGTTCTCAGTGAAATTCTTGCTCTAGAATAGCAGCTTGTAAATTTTTTTTGCTCATCATTCTCTTTAAGAATCTAAAAGCTGAGGCACCTGCGTGGCATAGTCAGTTGAGTGCATGAGTCTTGGTTTTGGTTCAGGTCGTGGTTTCATGGTTGGGGAATTGAGACCCTCTTTGGGTTCCATGCTCAGTTTAGAGTCTGCTTAGGATTCTCTCTCTCCCTCTACCTACCCCTCCTACCCACCATGCTCTCTAGAGAGCATGTGCTCTCTCTCAAATAGATACACCTTTAGGGGGAAAAACAATCTAACAAAAGCTATGAAACTTTCCCCATAAAAATGCATAAGCATAAAAATGTTACATATAATTCATGGATTCTTTAAAGCCCATCCACATAACCTCAAACACTAGGTTAAGAAAGCCTATTCTATACAAAGAAATGTAGGGGCAACATGGCTATTAGCAGCATGCCACTTTTTCTTAAAGAATTCAGCTAGAAAAATAGTCACCTGAAAGGCTAATGCACTTATCCTTTTTTATAAGTGGAAAAACCATTTTTTTTAATTTAAGAAATTGTATTTACTTTATAAAGATTTTTATTTTTAAATGGGGTGCCTGGGTGGCTTAGTCAGTTGAGCATCTGACTCTTGATTTCAGCTCGGGTCATGATTTTGGGATTGTGAGATTGAGCCCTGCATTGGGCTCCATGCTAAATGTGTACCCTGCTAAAGATTCTCTCTCTCCCTCTGCTCCCTACCTCACTTGCACTCTCTCTTTCAAAAACACAACAAAAAAAGATTTTAAGTACTCTCTACACCCAACGTGGGGCTCCAACTCACAACCCTGAGATCAAGAGTTGCATGCTCCACCGACTGAGCCAGCCAAGTGCCCCAAAACTATTTATAAAGTCACCCCATGGCTTACTGCTTGATATATTAGAGCAACAAAGTGGACCTCTTTTTCCTGAGTATCAATTAGGTCACAAGATGAGTCTTGCTCAATCCCTTCATTTCAGATGAAAATGATAGGTGGGGAAGTTAAGAGGGCTACCTTGGTAAAACAGCTAGTCTTCTGATCCCTAATCTAACACTTTTCTTCATTACACTGTGAATACAGCACTAACTTGAACAGAAGAATAACTTTTCAATATGTTATTATCTTCAAGACTAAAATAGGCAAACAACGATAAAAATGGTCATAATGAACCCATATTCCCGGTACATTTACCTCATACAAGACTTGCCCTGATGCCAAACACTTTCTATCACCAAAGGCCAGCTGAAGTAGATGTAAACTCAAAACATCCCCTTCACTGAAAGAAACAGAAACGAGCTGAGAAGAAACACTAAAGATCCTTTTAATACATCAAGTATCTCTTTCTGTCCAGTAGACAATATTGAGCGCACATGACAAATTGAAGGTCAATGTGAAGAACTTACCTTTATTTGGTTGTTTTCACAAAATGCACTCCTCTGAAACAATAACTAATTTTTATCTGTAACAGATTCCAATTAACTTAAGCTGATGTTATTTGCACATTTCAGGTGACCCCTTCTGTGGCAGAGATCACAAGCGTTTACCCAACATTCCTTCTCCCCATCTTTAACAGGTGTGATCTAGTTAGGCACATGGCTACCTGAAACATTTCCCAGCTTCCTTTAAGATGGATGCAGCAGGCCCACGTTCTGGCCAACAGGATATAAACAGAATTATCCCATGGCAACTACAGAAAACCCTCTTTAGAGGACTGCCTGTCCTTTGCTGCTTCTTCCTGGTCTCTTCCTCCACCTTGCTAGGCTTCTACCTCAAATGAAGAAGTTGCTGCCCTGAACCACAGAATGAGGGCTCCAGAATATGAATAGAAGGCAAAGATACCAAATCAACTCTTCACTGCTCAAGTACAGTATGCAGTAAGTATTAAGACCACTGATTTCCGTATTGTCTGAATTTGAATTCTTATTCTTTTTGGCTGATCCTTCTTAAAACACATATTCTACTTGGCCTCCAGGATGTCACACAATCTTCACGTTCCTTACACTACACTACCCTTAGTCCTCGGCTGGCTGTTCTACCCTCTGCTTCTCCACCATCAATTATCTTCAAGTGCAGAAAGGTTCCTAGCTCTCTTCTCTAATTATTCTCACTCTGGGCTGGTGGTTCTCTATCTTGTTTGCTTATTATTAGAATCACCAGAGGAGCTTTGAAAAAATACTTATGCTTAAACCCAATCACCAGAAATTGATTTAATTGGTCTGATCTAGCCAGACCAAATTCAAACACTTACTTTATCCTCCCTATGTAAATTAGTTCTACTCTTCTGACCTCATCTGTGACCTATACATACATTCTACCCTTTACTACTCTTCTTGTTGTGTGCCTTGAGACATTTTTCTAAGGCCTTTGCATTCTTTTCCCCAGATTACCTCCATGGCTCTCCTACTGACCTGCCCCAACTTCTTTCAAATCTCCCCAACTATACTATCTAAAAGAGCAGTTCCCTACACCATATTCTAGATCTCCTCTCCCAGTTTTATTTTTCTGTATTTAACATCAATACTTGAAATTACATGAAATATATGCACTAGTATATTTATAAAATGTAGTCACCGAAATATAACATCTAGAAGTACAGAAACTTATTGGTGTTATGCATCACTACATTTTCTACAACAGTCACTAGCACATATAAACACTTAATGATTTTGTGGAATGAATAAACACATGGACATGAAACAAAAACAAATAATCTCTAAAAGACCAAATACTAAAGATAAACTGTATACAACCAACATTAAAGGGAACAGCAGTTTTTTCATTCCCCTTTGCAGATTACAAAATTAACATGGCTTTTATTCTAATTGATGAGCACCATGGCAACAATTTAAGATCGATACTCATGTAATTCCATGGTGGTATAATCACTCTACAAGTGATTCTTTTGGTTTTCCTTTTTTATTCTGTTTATATAATCATTCTGATGGAGAAAAGGAAGGACCATATCACCTGTCTTTCTAATTGAGACTTATACTTCATATTATTTTCATCCACTTATAATACTAATGCCATCTACTTATACATACCAACATGTGTATAAGCATTATTTGTGTAAGTGCTATTTGCATGTTTATGACTATTATTTATACATGTGTATACATATTATTTGTATATGTGTATATATGTATTTTTATTTTGTATTGTTCACATATATGTAAACAAATGTAAATAATCTTATATGTAATATCCAGGAGCTTACAGACTGCTCTATGTCTACCCACAGACCACATGTCAGGAACTCTGCTTTAAATCATATTACATGGGACACCTGGGTGGCTCAGTGGTTGAGCATCTGCCTTCAGCTCAGGGCATGATCCCAGGGTCCTAGGATCGAGTCCCACATCAGACACAGGGAGCCCGCTTCTCCCTCTGCCTGTGTCTCTCATGAATAAATAAAATCTTAAAAAAAAAATCACATTACATACATATACCAATATATATCAGAGCCTTCATCAAATTCTCAAAGAGGTCCATGACCTACTAATTTAAGGGCCCAAATCAAAGACTAGAAGTGCACAAAAATACCCCTCTCAAAAATATCTCACATCAATAATACCAACAAATGCAAAGTAAATCATATAGGAATAAATAATCCAACTTATCAATTAAATTAACCCTGTCCTATTAAAAGGATATACAGAATACTAGGAAGTGGTTTAAAAGTCACTACAGAATTGTTCCCTTGGGTTACTTATTCGGTGTGTTGTGGATAATAAAGATAAGTAAACACAGGGCATCACTGTAAGAGAAACAGAAACAGTATATTCTGCCCATAGTTTAGACTGGGATTCATTTGTGCTTCAAATGCAAATACAGTTGACCCTTGAACTGTTAGGGCTATCTGTATGCAGTTTTTTTTTTTTTTCAATAAATACAACGGGAAATCTTTGGGAGATTTGTGACAATTTGAAAAAAACCTGCAGATGAATCGCACAGCATAGATATACTCAAAAAATTAAGCAAAACCTTAGGCATTATTTTAAGAATATAGTATATAACACATTTAACACACAAAATATGTGCTGTTGATATTTATTCATTTGGCTTCTGGTCAACAGTAGGCTATGAGTAGCTAAATTTTGGGGGTGTGGTGGGGGAGGTGAAAAGTTGTATGTGGATTTCTAATGGCACAAGGGGGTCAGAGTCCCTCTCCCACACTGTTCAAGAATGTGCTGTAGACAGCTCTGAAAACTACTTCAAAAAGGACAAAGGGAAGTGCATACAGTTCACAAGAATTTACAAAAGAAAGTCAGAAACAGAATATTCAGATACCTTTATGATTGTAAGAACAGAGTAGGCACCACTTACAGATAATAACTAAAAGAATCAAGAGTGGTATGGTAAAAAAAAAAAAAAAAAAAAAAGAATGCAGACTTATTCACCAAGTTCCAAAATAAGAGAAAAACACTCCAGAGTTTAGTGTGAGAAATTCAGAGGTTATAAAATACAAAAACTCACATAAAGAATAAAAAATTAATAGAACTTATACTAAGAAGACAGTTCTAGGAGGAAAAATAAACAGAATACAATTGTTTAGATAAAAGTCCCCTTGCATTCCCCACCATTGAGAGCCCTCACAGGGCACATCCCTCCAACTGTTGCCCACACTACACTCAGATGAACAGAAATGGGTTTCACTCAATGAGGGGTAGCCCAAGAGCAGTCTCCATATTTTCATTTTGATATTTTTCCAGGATTGACAAAGTTCAAAGTGGCAAATCAATTCTTTTCCTGACTTACTACAGAGGAAGGCAAGACCAAACCAAGTGGGGACATCTAACACAAAAATCCAAACTGATCACGATTCAGGTCCCTAGAGCCCAAGGCAGAATGGACTTGGGGAGAGAAAGTACCAGGAACCATGCATTACCACCACCACCACAGCATTTATATCACAAGATCAACGGTTTCCCTAATCATTCAAGAAAGAACAAAACCAAAGAAAAACAGAACATCAACGTACTATTCTAACTGAACAAACTTAACTAGTTTGATCAGTTGAAAGATTTCTCATTAGCTTTAACTGGGACAAAATTAGATCTTATGACAGAGAAAAATTAACCAAGTTAATGAAGGAATATACTAAAAAAGGCAAACAGGAGCACCAGGGAGCAGAGTAAGGGTAAATAAAAATGAGAGACGCATACTCAACAGAGAAAAAGAGAAATGAGATTTTTAAAAGTGTAAGAACATTCTTGTGAAAGAATACAGAAGGCCACAAAAGCCGTCTTAAGGCAATAAGGCTGCCCACCCACCTGTACTGGCTTACTATTGGAAATAGCATTCAAACACATCAAACAAGCACAATTTCTTACTGATACCTCAGAATTTACTCAACCACATAGAAAGAATCCTTTAACTTTCAAAATCATTTCAACTACCACTTACTAATTCACTGAATTATCCAAAAAGAGACACTATACATAAAGCCAAAAGAAATTAACTGCTGCCTCATCTTTGACAAGTATTTTTAAAAACCACACGTGTCATGCTTACCTATCTTGTGTTGACTGAACCGCCCACAGGTAACAGCAATTACGAGGATCATTCTCAGGTTCTTGAAAAGTGACTGCATACACGGGGACTCTCCCACCTTCCAGCTGTGTGTAGTACCTGTAACAGGAACAGAAAGTACAACGGTTCCTACTTTTAAATTATAATTGCATGCAAAGCCAATAAAGGGTTCTCATGTGAGGATCTAGGTTAGGGCAACTACCGTTCACAGGATCATCTTATCTTCCAGAACACACAGGGTAGAGGACAGCAAGACAACGGACACAGATAGCACGGAAGGGCCAAAACCATGTACGCGCACATGTACGCATGTAGGAACTAGGCCTTCCTATCAGGGGAGCGTGCACCAGTGTGTATTGCTCCAAGTGAGAGGTACTCAAGAAGAGATGAACATGGACACAACCCTCAATCTCAGCTGCTTGCATGTAGTCAGTTTCCCCATCACGATACCCCAACAAGTGAGAATCTGAAGATTTCCCATAAACCACTTAAAAAGCATAATTAGCCAAGAGTGACAGAGCTAGGGAAAGACTGTAGAAGCCAAGTTCTCCAGGCATTCATGTAGGAGCAATTCAAAGACAAAAGCTGGTGAAAGATTCTCAAGCAAAGACAGTTGAGGTGGGCTTACCCTAGGGAGCTAGTAGGCAATAGCACTGACAACTTCATGACTTAAATACAATAAAGTTTAAAAAAGAATGTATTTTTAAGTCATGTCCACATCCCATGTGGGGATCGAACTCATGACCCCAAGATCAAGAGTCACACTCTTCCAACTAAGCCAGCAGGTGCCCCCCTCAGCAGTTTTAACATCATAAATATTAATTTAAGAGGTGTCAGGGGCACCTGGGGGGTGTCCTTGTTTAAGTGTCTGACTCTTGGTTCTGTCTCAGGTTGTGACCTCAGGGTCATGGGATTGATCCATCAAGCACCACACTCATCAGCATAGAGTCTGCTTGGCAGCTCTACCCCCCACCCCTTCTCCCCCTGGCCCTCTCTGTAAAATTAAGTAAAATCATGAAGAGAGAGAAAAAAAAAAAGTAACAGTAAAGTAAAGTGTTATCAGTAACACTGGGGAAAGTTTAGACAGCATAAAAATTTTAAAACACGGTGACTTTCAAGTAAGTAAAATCATGAAGAGAGAGAAAAAAAAAGTAACAGTAAAGTAAAGTGTTATCAGTAACACTGGGGAAAGTTTAGACAGCATAAAAATTTTAAAACACGGTGACTTTCAACTTTGATTAAAAAAAAAAAAAAAAAGCTTTTCTGGCAGCTGAGAACTAATACTGTTGGCCACTACTTTACACTCATGGTTATAAGGAAAAGTATTCCTGAAAGAATCCATACTGCACAAATATATAGTTTAGAGTCAAGTTTTACTAGTAACTGAAATGCCTTTTAAATGTATACTGAGTCAACCTAAATTCACATGCCAAGTCATTCCTTTCTTGCATTAGGTTATGATTTCATGCAATGAACAATTTCTTCATATTGACTCATTCAATCATTAATCTATCATACCTTTTTCTCTTTTCTTGTGATAATTTCAAAATAGTAATAACTGAGTATGTTATATTTAGAAAGAAACTACCAATAATCAAGAGAAAAAAGTTGTACTTACTCTCTTTTCATGCTTTTCATATTCCAAAGAGCTAGATAACCATCAGAGAAGCCCACGGCGAGCTGGTTCGTCCTGCTGATATAGCGGAGAGCTGACACAGGGGTACCCGACGGGCTCACCAACTGGAAACACAGGTGGCGTCCCTCACGCATCACCGTCTCCCTGATGTGTGGCACTTCAGCCGGGATGCCAGACACAACTTCAAGGTCTAGAAAAACAAGTAAGATTAACAGATGCTAACAACCACAAGAGCAAATGTGTCACCCACTATTCAAGCTGTGGTCAATTAAAATCAGATTAGTGCTAACAAAGCACAATGAACTATAAAATAGCCACCAATATCCAGTTAAATAATCTAATTTTCAAAATACATTTAATTATGTAATTTTTGAAACCCTCAAGCGCATCACAAATATTATCTGAATCACATTTTTAAAAAAGGATCAAACAATTTCCTTAATCACAAACAAAGCTGATGGGTTTCCTTATTCAAATTTAGAACTAAGAACCTAAATGTTCCCCTTAGAGAAATGGCCAGTTCCAGGCCTGGGGCAGAAAATACGCAGGATAAGCCTAGTATATCTTGTGCCAGAAACCTAGGAAGCCTAAGGAGCATCTGTCAGACTACATGAAGGAGCTCTCACTAGTTTAAAATTTTTCTTTCTTTTGAACGTCAATAAACAATAAGTAAAGTAAATGAATGAAAGACATTAAATATGCAAAGCCTCCTGAATTCCTGTCCTCTTCACCTACAAAAGACCTTACTAAACCATTTTAAGTAACTGGGTACTACCTCCTTACTCTGAAAATGAGTACTTGAAGAAATAATAAGCATTTATCCTGCCCTGTCTGTACAGCTTATATTTCAGGGTAAGCAAATAGCCTTAGTTACTGAGAAAATTCTTCTTTAGAGTAAGAGAATTTTAAAATCATCATTTTTGTGTCCCCTAATGAATTAAGAGATTTAGGTAACGATCTCGATAGATGAAACATTTAATTTAAATAGGGTGGTTCAACCTTGGCTCTACTGACACTTTGGGTCAGATAAATCTTTGCTGAGGGGAATGGCCCTCTGCATCACAAGATAGTCAACTGCATCCCTGGCCTCTGTCTACTAGATGCCAGTAGCACCATCACCCTCCAGGAGCAACAACCAAAAGTGTCTCCAAGACATTAAGAAAGATCCCCTGGTTGAGAATCACTGGTACAGACGTTGATGGGAAATGTTAACAAGGAAGGATCATGGTGTCATCATCTGAATCCACTGATCACTAAAGATGAAATAAGACACTATGTGCCTCCTGATGTGATACAATACACCATGTCCACCACTGCCGGAAGTGCCCTTGCCAAATGTCACATCTGAATCTAATCAAAGCTAACTTGCATTTGCAGAAAATACAAAATGTAAACGATACCACATAAAACCACCCTAAAAATTCCAAAATGTGGGGCAGTCTCTCAGATAAACTAATTTCTTAAGCAAGTCAGTAGTACTAAAAAGATCTTCTATAAAATTCCATCAAAACTATTTAATTCCTCTACCAATTTTCTATGAAGAGTAGTTAAAGCATATCTAATATCCTCTAAGTTCATTTTTAGTTGTTATTTCTGCTAGTCAAGTCTTTTCATTTAAATTTTACCCAAGGTTAATCAGTCAGATCTTTGTACATAACAAATTTTAAGACAGTTTTTATCACTGGATTTTTCTTTTCCTTAAGTGTCCATGTGGCCTTAATTTTTGCCAAATCAAATTTTCTCAAGGCATATTTTACAGATTTAAAATTTTGTTCAGAAATCTAATTTGGTTCTCAAATTTCTGGTTAAATTCAATTTTTACTACTTGCAGTTTTAAGCAGTTCTACGCACTAACAATTTTTATTAGTTATGCTCATTATAAATTGGGATAAAATAATGATCATCTGTTTCTTAGCTGATCCACTGAAAAACATATTCTACTACAGGACTGCTTCAAATATCAAGAAGGTCCTCAAGATCAAATGGTCCTTTCCTGAAACTTCATAATGCATACTTTTAAAAAAGATTCTATGTATTTATTCAGGAGAGACACACAGAAAGAGGCAGAGACACAGGCAGAGGAAGAAGCAGCAGGCTCCTCACTGAGCAGGGAGCCTGATGTAGGACTTGATCTCAGGACCCTGGGATGTTATTTTGTGAAATAAAACCTTTGATTACTGTGTTATTTCCTATTACATTACCTTATTTCTAACTTATCTTACTGTAACCACATAATCAGCATGCCAAAAACACTATGTTAGATGCTACACAACTGGATAATTTTATACTGTCCAATAAAGATAAAGGTTTTCTAATACCTTCAGCCCTTCTAGCATATACTTAATAACAACTATTTTTCAAGTGTATCTAAAAAAAGAAATCAAAATCTCTTTCAAGACTTACTTTAAATATATGAACACCTTGTCAATAAAATAGAATAACTCATGTGAAAAGTATCCACAATGCCCAAAACAATAATAGGTCCCGACAATAAAAGAAACAAAGACATACAGCTTCTATATAAAAAATTTTCAGTATTTAAAAATCAAACAAATCCATTATACCAGAATATTCAGGTGCTCAGTTTTGGGTTTTAAACAATTACCTGATGCCTCTAATTCATTCTGACTGCATGACATGTCATCCAAACACAGGTCAATAAGAAGGATCTGTCCAATATCAGTCACCACTGCTGCCACACCAAAAAGCCACCGCAGGCTTGGGTGCAAATGCTGTGTGCTTGCACTGGCTCCTCCATGACTAACTATAGGTTCAATTGCTGTCACCTAGAAAGCAGAATATAGCATTTGTTTTTCTTATACAAAGTGAGAAAATAGAATTAAAAAACACAACAAATTTTAAGGTTAAAGGTTATTAGTTATCATGGATTTAAAACATTTTCTAATATAAATTTGCATCTGATACTTGTAAATCTGAATAACATAATGAAATCTTCAGATAAAATAGAAATGACACCATTATTTCAATACATAACAAATCATGCAGTTGGAATAACTGATGTTTACTGAAAGCTTACTATATGCCAGGCCTTGTGCTAATTGGTTCCTGTGATGTTCATGATAACCCTGGATATTGGATCATATATAATTCTATCTATGCAAAGATGAAACCACCCTGAAGCTTAGCAAGTTTAGCTGGGGTTATTCAAGTCACACAGACATTAAGTGTAAAACTCAAACCTAGATTTTTCTCTTCAAAGCTCTCAACCAGCTACTCCATGATCAGATAGCCTCTTCTCCTAAAGAAGAGTAAAAATAAATAATTCAAGAAAAATTTACTGTTTACTCTTTAAAAATAAAAGTCCTGTTTATGCCTTAAAGCCTGAAGAGGTCTAACCTTCTTTATAATGGACTTCAGGCTTTGGCCATGCCTGGATCACAGACATTTACCAAGAACTTAAATTATTAAAAAAAAAAAAAAAAAAAAATCGTACTGTAGCTAATTATGGAGTTATGTTTTTATCCCTTTCTCTCATAAGTCAAATTGTAAATGTCTGTACATTTAAAATAATATAATCATATATTATAATAATCTGTATTTTATACTCAGCTTTCCTTCTATTTCCCCTAATTCACAAGAATTAGGTATGATATATGATAAGTGAGTAAGTAGTGACTTCTACTATAATACTGATGAGTGTCCTAAAAAGTAAAGAGGAAATTTATTATCAATGGCTTATGTGTTAATATGAGTAAAGTTTGTTTCAGGCTTAATTTATTACCACAGACAAAAATCTGGCTTTGTCTATACTTCATTGGTACACAAGATATTCTACAGTGTTTCTAATTCTGAAAGCTGTAATTTCATGGACTGCCTACCTTTTCTAAATAATGCAATAATGTCTATAAATACTAGAGCACAGTCTCTCCAATTCCCTAAGACAGGGGTTCAGAAATCTATCTCAGTTTGCAGCCCTCGTACAAATACTCTATGAATTAATTGATAATGATACCTTAGTTAATTTTAAAATAGGCAGTAAAAAGCAAATTTAAGAGGGAATACTGTGCCTAAGCCAAAAAAAAACAACTAGTTAACTAAACTTCTATGGAAGGTATCTATCACTAGTCTCCCAATCCTTCCCTTCTATAATCCCTCTTCCATGTGATATCAATCATCCATGCACTGAGCAATCAACTTATCTAAACTCTTGTTCCTTCTCAATTACTCTTAACCAAATGATCAACAGGTCCTGTCCATGTCACCTCCTGAATATATTCTGAATCTGTCCCATCCTCTCCGTTTCTAGGGTCATTTTCCTGGTTCATCTCACCACCATTTTCTGCCCAAACTACTCCAATCCAACAAAATTTTTACACTAGAGTTCTGCTTTAAACTTAAAATGACTTTACCAGACTTCAGGCAGGAGGTCACTAACTGCAAACAGGGCCATTTATTATCTCAATCCTCAGTATTTCCAGACCCCACCTCTGCCTTCCCCTCTCCAAAGCCATTCCAAATAAGCCCAGTTTCCAAATGTTCCATATACTGTGACTTCTTATATGCTGGTCTCTCTTCCTAAGCTGTCCAACCTCCTGAGTAGAAATTATCCAGGTGTTTCCATGTTTCATTGCTGAGTTAATCAAAATACTATATATACGCTGTAAACTTATTACCTGTCTTCTCTCCCTAGATTATCAGCTTTTTCAATAGCATGGACCAAGTCCTATTTATCTACTTATCTCCAAAATTTAGCACATAGCTTGATCTATAGTAAGCACTCAATAAACCACTAAATTAATTCTGCCTTTAAAATCTGCTCTGGCAAGTACAGATTTTAAAGTACAGGCTATAAATCTCTTTGACCCCTACATATCCCTGAGTCAGCTTCCTCAAACTGCAAAAATATAGTATTTTGACATTTACCTCCCTTTTAACTTTAAAAATTAGTCTATGACCACAAAATACATTTATATGCATGTATATGTTCTTGTTTGTATGCTATATATTATTTGTATATTGCTTATATAGTCTATATTGTATATTGTTTACATTATAGTATACTTGTTACTTTTTTCCCACACTATGTACAGAGAGAATTCTATTCTTACATCATTTTGTATTTATGTGTGTGTGTATATTCGTTAAGTACATAATTTTTTCTTACCATGAATGGAAGAGCAGGAATAAACCTGCTGGAGAAACAACCTGAATTAAAAGTCCTTCTATACTTACTACTGGTTAAGATGTTTGGTATATGGAAAGCATACATATATTAGAATTAATAAATGGTGATTATAAATGAATCTATTTAAGTATTATTCAAATCTTAAAAAACACTGAAGACATATTTTCCATGTTGTTTCAAGGCTACAGTCTCGAAAAAACAAAAAATGCCATACTAATGAGTATAATAATATTTTAATACAAACTTTCAGTGTCCTCAAAAAACACACCTGAAGATAAGACTCACGATACTTTTCATCTGAAAGAGTATTAGAGCACTTGACATTAACACCTACCTTTACTTTGCAATTTTCTAACCAAGAATAAGAAAGTTCTATTTTAAACATTATTTTGATAACATGCTATCTTTAACTTATTTTGAACTTTTAATGAAAAATAACACAATGCCATAAAAGTAAACTGTGAAAAGTCACCGAGCTATACATTTATAAAGTGAACACACCTGTGTAATTAGCAGGGGTTCAGGTATGAAAAGTAGCATGTTCACATATCTTAGACAATACCTACCCTCCCAGGAAGAACAACTGCTTTAACCACTCTGGATACACCAAGGTCGTAAAGACAGAGAACACTCCCCTCTGCTTCTTCCAATCCAATTAACAATCCAACTCTCTTCTGCCAAGAGAATTCCTTCATAGCTAGGATTATAGGAGGCTGTTGATTCACTCCATTGAATCTATATGCAGACAACCGCTCTCCTGTTAGAGAGTGTACTACCTCAAGATGTTGACCACAAGCCAGGCAAGCAAGTCCTCTTCTCCCTAAAGGAAAGGAAAAAAAAAAAAAAAAAAAGAAGGCAAAAAATTGTGCTTATTTTAATACCGTATGTACACCACACAAATAAATAGAAGTTAGATCTTTTACATACTTAATACATAGCTCATTATATATAACTTTATGTATTATCTCCAAAGTGAAATCTAAGCATTTATAGAAAAGAGTGGTCCAAACTAGTAAAATGCATTAAAGAACCTCAATAATAAAGTAACCACTCAGTAAAGGTACCATGCTACATGGTACCTTCATATACACTATAAAAAACAGATCTCATTTATTCCTTGTCACACTTCAATACAAAGATAATTTTAGCTAAACTTTCATACAGTTAAATAACTTGTTCAGTGATGTATGGCTACAAGGGCGCCTGGGTGGCTAAGTCAGTTAAGTGTCTGCCTTCAGCTCAGGTCATGATCTCAGGGTCCTGGAATTGAGCCTGGAGTCAGGCTTCTCCCTCTCCCTCTGCCACCTATCCTAATCATGCTCTTTCTAATAAATAAATATAATCTTAAAAAACAAAAAAGCATGTATGGCTACAAATACCAGAGCCATAAGCGCATCACTAGTCTAACTCCAAAATTCACACTTTCACTGTGTCATACCTCAACAATTAAACCAGGTGCTCTGGGGCTCATGAAATGGAACACATGATCCTATTCCTGAAAAATTCAAACTCTAATTTAGAAAACATAACTAATACAACAATAAATACCAGAAGCCCTTCTTCACCCCTTACTAGTCATATCTGGATTTTTAAGTACACAATGTAAATAACTGGAGGTTTTTAAGCAGTCTGATTTATATTTTTAACTTACTCCAGCTGCTAACCAGGAAATGGACAATGAGGGGGAGCACAGGGTCCAAGCAGGAAGAGAATACCTTCTACCTGGTCAGTGACCATGAATAAACAGAAGTGGATTGACTAGAGATTCATCTTAGAAGCCTACAAGGATCTGCTTATTGACAGAAAATAGATATGGGGAGGGAAATAATCAAGAACAGACTCAAATTTTCCCTTGAGCAGCTAAGATGGTTAACTTTTCAATTTGTAATGTCTCCAGTACATCCAATACACAGCTAGTCATACTATGTTACAGCTAAGGGAGGCTACATAGTTTAAGGAAATAGCATGGCACAATGGAGACCTCAAAAGCCAAAAGCGCAAAGACCACTTTCACCATTTGCTATCTGTATAACTGGGATATTTGATTCTTAGCTACACAAAACAGTAAGGGCCTACTTAGAATTCGGAGTCTAATACCTCAATGAAAAGTTGTTACAGTGCCTTGCACTGTTACTACTTTTAACATTCAACAGGGTAGCATTGTAACTAGCTAAATGACATGTTTTGCTGTCTACCTTCTAGGATAGATGGTGTGAAATTCGTTTTCAGAAAAGTCTTTTACAAGATCTCTCACTAAACTAAAATCCATAATTTAATGGATACTCTAGTATAGTTTACTGCTGCATTACATAATCAAACTATACATTAAGGTCTTGTTCAGATGAATAGAATTAAGAAACAAGACGTTCTGAGTATTTTGTTACTACCTAGGGCCCTACAATCAGATTTTTCTATTCATAATGACTAGATTCTAATCCAAACTCAACACCAAAGAACTTACTGATTATAAAGAAATAATAGGAGCACCTGGGTGGCTCAGTTGGTTGAGTGTCTGACTCTTGATTTCGGCTCAGTATGACCTCAGGGTCGTGAGATGGAGCCCTGCATCAGGCTCTGCACTGGGTGTGGAGCCTGCTTGAGATTCTTTCCCGCCCTCTCTCTGTTCCTCCCTCCCTCCCCCGCCCCAGGCTGGTGCATACAAGCACACATTCTTAAAAAAAAAAAAAGAAAAAGAAAAAACAGCTGTGTATTATTTTTACTTTCTAAATATAAATATCCAATACTAAAAGATACAAAGTCTACAGTATTTTTAATTAAGAAAAATGAATAACTATGCCAAAATTCACTGAAAATGTATTCTAGAGTATACAAGTGTTCTTACTTATGTAGCTATAGAGGTTTTATATTTATATAAGACCACCATAACCAAGTATTGCTTTCTTTTCCTCCCACATTAAATCACAATACATGCTCATTATTATCTTACAAATCAATCAAATCAGTAAATTTTCAGCAACATTATTATACCTGCAGCAATCTTTCCATGAAGCACAGATTCCACTGTTACTTCATCTTCGAGGGCCTGAAGACTCACTTCTGGCAAGGGCAGAAGACCACTAGTCACTTTTGCTGTTAAGCCTCGCATACTTTCACTGTAAGTATTTTTAAAAGATAACATTATTACGATATATTTATACTATAATATACTTGATTATCTCTAGCCAGAAAAAAAAAAGCCACCACACAAAAATAAGTAAGCTAAATCTAAAAACTGATCATAAAACACATTTTATGTGCTTCTGGGTCTGAGGTACTCCCTCCTAAGAAAGTATTTCCCAACTGCCTTAGGAGAGTGAGGATTTATTAAGCCAGATGTTCTAAGGATATACGTGATTCCCTAGATTATTTGAAAACTGGTATAATTAATCTTACTGCCTGACCTAATCTCAAAGAACACTTCACACATAAACAGGAAAAACAGCCATTCTGGAAAAATTACTCCTACAGTAAAAGGGGAGAAAGTCCATAAAAATGTCCAAATACACAGTAACCTCAGGAATTGAGTCTGGGACATGTCTTTAACTAGACAGAAGAAGAAAAATAGAAATTTATCTTTTACTTCCAATATACATAAGATTAGATTCCTGGAATGACCCATCTATTGTAAACAACCAAAAATGATGGTTAAAATTCTTTTTGAATGAGTTGGTAAAGCCAAATGTGAAGACCATAGGAATTTTGGGAGACTCTAGCTGGCTTGGGCCTCAAGGGTTGGTTATTAAATCTAGTGTGGGGACTCTGATTTTGTTTTGAGACTCTTGAGATGCAGAGAGGCAGGAGATAAAGCTAAGGACTAAGAGAGCCAAGGCAAGCTAAGAGTCTCCTCCCCACCCCATTGAACTCCATAAGGCTATACCATCAGCATAAAAATCAGTGAGAGAAGCACACACTGTGCAGGATAGGAGCAATAATGCTGCCCATTTTGACCATGCCTAGTCAGAAAATTTCCCTTCATACAAACTGGTAGCCAGAATTCAAGTTATGTTATCTGAAAACACTCAGGGAAGAATTTTTTATAAATTATTCTCAGGTTCGTAATGCTCCACACAACCCACAGACACCAGTAAATATTCTCTGGAACCTCAAAGGGTTCTCAAAGATGAAATGCCAAAGAAAATGACTCACAGTCAAAATAACAAACTATTATAGCAAGGATACTATGATCAACAGACAGCAGAATCAATTTATCAAAGTTTTCAGATATTGAAAATTACCAGAGAACAGAAAATATGTTTTACATGGTAAAAAACAATAATAATAATAAAGATCTAAATTGCTAATGAGGAAGAAACCTTAAAATGGTCAAGTAGATTTGAAAAAATAGCAGAACTTGCATAATGAAAAATTAAGTAAAATTTAGAACTCAACAAGAAAAAACCCTCAATGAATAGTAAGAATTACAGCACATGGAACAGTATGGACAAATGTCAGGATATAATAATAAACAATAAAAGGAGCAAAAAAACCCTGCAGAATGATTACATTTATATAAAGTTTAAAAGGCTATAAAAACTAAGCAAAATAATATCTAAGAATATAAACATTTATAGCAAAACTTGAATGAAACAAGGAAACAAACATGAAAATTGTAATAGTAGTTACTTGGAGAGGAGGGAAAGGGGCTGGAACAGAGAGGCATACAAAACTTGTTGGTGAGAAAACAGGTAGGTATTCACTGCATTGTGATTCTTTATAACTTACAAATATTCTTTGGCCTCCACTCAACAAACAGTTCTCTTGTACCTAAAGTCAACAAAAACAAACTAAAAAAAAAAAAAAAAGTAATATAGCATACTATAGTAATATAGCATACTAGCCTCAAAACTTTTTCAGAATGTAGGACAGAGAGACAAAGAAATTTAAGTATTTGAAAGTTATAGCAAGAGAAGAGGGGCGCCTGGCTGACTCAGTCAGTGGAGCATCAGACTCTTAATCTCAGGGTTGTGAGTTCAAGCCTCATGATGGGTTTAGAGATTACTTAAAAATAAAATCTTAAAAAAAATGTATAGGTAAGAAAGGGAGAAGATCTTACATGTTTACTCAGAATCTCTCAAAGCATAATACTAAATAGTAAAGAAGGAGCAATATTCTAAGATATTTCCTAGATTTGTAGACACACAAATTCTCAGAAATCAGAAAGACCAGTTAATCCCTAGGTAGAATAAGTAAAAATGCCTTTTTGACAACAGCAGAAGCCAGAAGTCTGGAATATCTCAAAATTCTACGCAAAAATAGCTGTCAACACATAATTACATATCACTGAAATTATCCTTAAATGTGAAATACCTTTTTAGAAAAAACAAAAACAGAGTTTACCACAAATAAACTCTCCCTTAAAGGGCGTTTTAAAGGATGATAGAAGGCGTCAGGTACAATAGAGATCAGACAGAGGTCTGAAATACAAAAAGAGCTCCAGGTATCCACAGTGGGGTCCCCTGAACCTTCCTATGATCCATGTAAGGGTGGAAGGAAACTACCAGAGGCCAAGGAATGAGTCACAGGAGAAACAATCCCCAAAGCTCACACGAGGCCAGGAGTAGCTCCAGAATGGGAAAACAAAACAAAAAACCCTCATAATACATGAGGCACTCAGTTGAGTACTCAGAAAGGTATTGACTGCTTCAGCAGTGGGGGGAAAAATTAACTCTGTCTAAAGGCCATTCTGGTTCATCCGAAAAAGCTTCTAAAGAATAAAACTGTTTCCAAATGACTTAGCTGCACCCCAGAAGGAGGCTCAAGAATATGAAAGTGAAATTCACAGTGCATTGGCATCCAATCAAAAATTGTCAGGCATGCAAAAGAAGCAAAATATATATGCCCCATAATAATAATAAAAAAAAACCCAACCAACAGAAACAGACCTAGAAATGACACAGAAGTTAGAATTAGTAGATGAGAACATTAAGTGAATTAGTTTAGGTATAATCCCTATGTCCAAGATAATAGGGGAAAGCATAAGCATGTTAAGACCAAAAAAAAAAAAAAAAAAAAAGGCCACATCAAACATCTAGAAGTGAGAAATACTAAATGGGATTCATAGACACAGAAAGCACCACTGGGCTTAAACATCCACAGTAGAAACAGTCTAAAATGAAGCACAAAGAGAAAAAAGACTGGGGCAGAAAGGAAAAGAACAGATCATCAATGAGTTATGGCACCATATCAAGTGCCCCAATATAAAACCGCAATCTCAAAAAAAAAAAAAAAAAAACGCAATCTCCAAAAAAAGAGGACAGAAATATTAATTTTTTTAAATTAATAGGACACACACAGAGAGAGAGAGAGAGGCAGAGACACAGGAGGAGGGAGAAGCAGGCTCCATGCTGGAAGCCTGACATGGGACTCGATCCTGGGACTCCAGGATCGTGCCCTGGGCCAAAGGCAGGCGCTAAACCGCTGAGCCACCCAGGGATCCCGGAGGACAGAAATATTTAAAAACTAATGGCCAAATTTGATGAAACTAAACCATTTAGGGGGTCAATAAATCTCAAGCACAAGAAACTGAAGAAATGCCATCAAAATACATATAGTCAAGGGACAAAGAGAAAATCATAAAAGTATCACACTGCCAAGAGGAACAAGAATGACCAAGAGACTTCTCATGGAAAATTATGCAAGTCAAACTGGTGAACAATGTATTTTAAGTTTGGAAAGGAAAAAAAAAAAAAAAGGCTGTCAACCTAAATTCTAGACCCAGTGAAAATATCCCTTAAAAATGAAGGCAAAACAAAGACATTTCAGACATATGAGAGTTAAAAAGATGGTCACCAGCAGATATGGACTAAGGGAATGTTAAAGAAATTCCTTCAGGAAGAAGGGTATTTTGAACTGAATGAAAATGAAAATATGACATACTAAAATTTGTGATGCAGCCTAAAGCAATGCTTATAGGGAAATTCATAACACTAAATGTCTATAAGATCTCCTATCAGTAACCTAAGCTTCCAACTTAAGAAACTAGAAAAGGAACAAATCAAACCCAGAAGCACCAGAAGGAGGGAATAAAAGCTGAAGTTAATAAAACAGAAAAATCTTAGTTAAAAAAAAAAAAACAAAACGGTGAAATCAAAAGCTGGTTCTTGGAGAAGCTTAAAAAAAAAAAAATCAACATAGAATAATAAATGAATGAAAGCCAAGAGACCAGAGACTGAACTATTCCACTTACAACAAAAATGACATTTCAAATTGCTGTGAAAATTATACCATTTGAAAAATAAATTTTTAATAATATCCTGAGATAATTTAGCCATCCCTGCTGGGCAGGAAAACAAAACAAAACACAAAAAACCATAAAAGCTCCTCCTCAGTATGATACAGAAATGGGAAATTATACATGGATAAAAGATCTGAAGGCAACCCCCTACCCCAAAGAGTGGTGAGGGAGAGGAGGCTATAATCTATGAAGCAACTTTTATGTTCTGGGCATTAACCAGACTTTTAAATCTTCAGGTAAAATTGATGCCATGTCTGTCCTATGGTTTCGGGCACCCTGTCTCATCTCTGTATCACTGGTCCCACCATTCTGAGAAGCACAGCATATAACACTGCTTTTTGAGGAAAAAAACTGCTTCAGTGGCTAACCCCAAAAGAGGATGTTGAAGGTGAAAATTGATATGAAAATTAAAACTTTCAGAGCAGGGGGTACACAATCAACTCAAAAAGAAAACTCAAGGGACAAGAATCATGATGTCAGAGGGTGCACAGAGTCATTTGACGTAATCACTAAATTCCAAATATAAATTCCAAAAACTTTAAATTGTAAAAGAACAGCCTAATGTGAGGAAAACCTTAAAAGGTAAAATTTATATAAATCCACCACTAATCTAAAATAAAAGGAAGTATGAGCGCCTGGCTGTCTCAGCCAGTAGAACATGCAACTCTTCATCCTGGGGTTCTAGCCCCATGTTGGGGGTAGAATCTCCTAAAATAAAATAAAAGGAAGTAGAATTTTTGTAACAATTTAATCCTGAATTTACCAGTGGGTAATTTTTATTACTCTTCTGTTACCTTACATCAAAATAAAGTCAACAAATGAGTATCTATTGCATTAACCCATCAGAAACAGAGCCCAGAGCTGTGTAGACTATAGGCTAAAGCACCCTTTTATGCTTTCAGGGGTTAAAAGCTTCCAAGTACATTGTATCCAGGTATTTTTTAAAAATTTCTTCTTTAAATTTCTGGTTGACCCATTCATTCTTTAGTAAGATGTTCTTTAACCTCCACGGATTTGTGGTCTCTCCAGTGTTTTTCTTGTGATTGTCTTCAAGTTTCTTAGCGCTGTGACTGGAAGAGCGCCTGGCTGGCTCAGTTGGTGTGACTCTTGATCTCAGGGTCGTGAGTTTAAACCCCATGTTGGGTGTGGAGCCTACTTAAAAAAACAAAAACAAACAAACAAAAAAAAGACAGCGTTGTGATGGACAATACCCATGGTATGATCTCAATCATCTTTTTTAAAAAAAGAAAAAGAGAGAGAGAGGGAAAGCGTGCAGGAGTTGGGATGTAGGGGCAGAAGGAGAGAGAGAGAGAGAGAGAGAGAGAGAGAGAGAGAATCTTAAGCAGGCTCCATGCCCAGCGCAGGGCTTGATCTCACAACCCTGAGATCAAGACCTAAGCTGAGATCAAAAGTCGGATGCTTAACCGACTGAGCCAGCCAGGCACCGCTGATCTCAATCTTTTGTACTTGTTGAGGCCTGGTTTGTAACCTAGCATGTGATCTATTCTGGGGAATGCCCCATGTGCGCTTGAAAAGAAAGCATATTCTGCTCCTTTAGGATGAAATGTTCTTAATAGATCAGTTAGGTCCATCTAGTCCAGTGTGTCATTCACAACCACTATTTCCTTGATTTTCTGCTTAGATTGCTGTAAGTGGGGCATTAAAGACCCCTACCATTATTGCATTTTTATCACTGAGTTCCTTTATGTTTGTTAAGACTTGTCTTAAATATCTGGGTGCTCCCAAGTTGGGGGCATAAAGATTTATAATTGTTAGTTCTTCTTGCTGGATAGACCCCTTTATTATGATATGGTGCTCTTCTTCACCTCTTGTTACAGTCTTTAGTTTAAAAGACTGATAAAAGGATAGCTACTTTAGCTTTCTTTTGATGTCCATTAGCAATGATAAATGGTTCTCCATACTTGCTTTCAATCTGCAGGTGTCTTTAGGTCTAAGATGAATCTCTTATAGGCAGCATATAGATGTTTTTTTACTCCATTCTGAGACCCTATGTCCTTTGATTGGAGGATTTAGCCCATTTACATTCAGAGTAAGTATTGACAGATGTAAATTTAGTGCCATTGTATTACTTCTTAATCTGTAACTGGACATTTTCTGTTCCTTTCTAGTCTTTGGTGCTTTTGGTCCTTCTTTCTCAAAGAATCCCCTTCAATATTTCTTGTAGAGCTGGTTTCGTGGTCACAAACTTCTTTAGTTTTTCATCTGGGAAACTCTATCTCTGCTCCTGTTCTGAAAGACAGTCTTGCTGGATAGAGTATTCTTGGCTGCCTATTTTTCTCATTCAGCACCTTGAACATATCGTGCCCCTCTCTTCTGGCCTGCCAAGTTTCTCTGATTAGATCTACTGCCAATTTTGTAGATCTTCCCTTATTAAATTAGGGACTTTTTTCCCCTTGCTGCTTTCAGGACTTTTTCTTTATATTTTGCAAATTTAACTACAATGTGTTTTGGCATTGGTGTGCCAAACTGCGAAAGCAGTTTCATTGATTTTGATACGACTTCTCTTTTCCTCCTGGATTTGGAGGTCTGTTTCCTTCCCCGAATTAGCAAAGTTTTCAGATATAATTTTCTCAATAAACCTTCTGCCCCCCTCTGCCCTCTCCTCTTCTTCTGAGACTCCTATGATATGAATGTTATCATGCTTTATGGAGTCACTGAGTTCCCTATGTCTATCTTCATGATCCAATGTTTTTCTTTCTCTGTTCTTTTCAGCTTCATTATTTTTCATAATTTTATCTTCTATGTCACTTATTCGTTCCTCTGTTTCTTCCATCTTTGTCATCATATCCAATCAGGTTTGAATCTCAGTTATAGCATTTCATTTCAGCCTGACTAGTTTTTAGGTCTTTTATTTCTATAGTGAGGGACTTCCTGGTGTCTTCTATGCCTCTCTTAAGCCCAAATAGTATCCTTATGAATGTTCCTTTAAATTCTGGCTCAGGCATATTACTTCTATCTGCTTCAACAGCTCCCTGGCCACGACCTTTTCTTCTTTTTTGGTGGACGAATTCCTCCATCTTGGCATTCTGTCTAAGCCTCTGTCTTCAGTGTGTTAAGAAAGCTCCTCTGTTTCCTGCTCCTGAGAGTAATGACTTTATTAAGAAGAAGTCATATACCATCTAGGGACTGACACTTCAGGAAGTGTCCTGGTGTGTCCTGTATGTACTGTGCTGCTGGTGTTTTGGCTGCTCGTTCCCTCAAGTCAGTCCTCTGCAGAGTTTCTCCTTGCCTGCAGTGGGCACTGTTTGGACCTTGGCCAGAGTGTGGCGAGTTTTAACTAGGTGTGCTCTGCTCTGCTTGTTAAGAGACCCGATGCTATTTCCACTGGAGCTGAAGCTTTGCAACACTCAATAGTCAGCAGATGTGGTATATGCTTGCTTGGCCGGGGCGGGAGCTCACTATCTGGTTCTCAAGCACACTTGCAGCCCAACTTTTCTGTAAAAGTACTTGTCCTAAGTTGATCCATGAACTTCTCTCTGCTAGGCCCAGTCACAAGTCTATAACACAGATAGACTTCTGTACAGGTACATCCAGGGTGCAGCCATACATCTCCAAAGCTCCACTTTGGAGATGCCACTTCTGCTCTAGCTGATGCCTTCCACCTCAGGCCGGTAACAAGATGGTTTGCAGCCACTTCAATACCATGCATCCAAGCACACCCAATATAGCAACCACAAGTACACTGTCCTGTCACCAGGTACCAAGATCTGTCCTGTGGCCAGGTATTTCCACAAAAGGTTAATATTATAACGTTTAGTGCTATCCTTAGACATTTAGAAATTAAAGACTCTAAAACATTGAATCTTTGAGGCTGCTAATTTCCTTAGTGATCCTGTTTAACTTCCCACATTCAGTGGATAATCAGTTTTTCAACTGAGTCTATTTCTTAATTCATTCAACCAATACTAAATGCTTATTGTATGCTAAAATACTGGATGTATTTTACTGGATGTAAAATACTGGAAATGCTGAAACCATAGATTCCTCCTAAGTGCTCCTCTATCTTCATCTCCCCCACTTCCCTCTTTATTCAATTGTTTCTTAGGATTAGGATAACAATTATAATTCACTTCTTGGTCCTGCAAGTTTAGACTCAGTTTCTACATAACTAAAGGAATTTACCCTTTAGTTCCACCAGAATTAGAGCAGTGTTTCTCTAACTTCCATAACACTGATGCCTGTTTCAAGAGGAAAAATAATTTCTCAAAGCACTTAGTATCTGAGAAACAAGAAGTCAAACAAAACAATAACCGCAGGTTCCATCCAGAGTACTAGAAAAGACACGAACTTTGAGTTAAAATGGCTTTAAGTCCAGGTTCTACCACTAACTAGTACACGTAATGTTGAACTTCTATACTTTGTCTTCACGTCACATCTAAGCTTCTAAGAAAATGTGAATACCTAGCTCTCCAACTCTTTCTTAGCTTATCATGGTGCCTGGCACAAAAGAATTCAAAAAAGTGTTCAGAGAATGAAAGAAACTTTTTCAAATCCCCACATTAGCCTTTGAATCAATAGGGCAAAAATTGGCTTCAAGACCTTTCAAATCACAAATTTACAGTATGAATTTTAACATTTTAAGCACATCAAAAAGAACTTTTAAAAATTATACTATTACAACATCTCATATAGACGTGTATGTTCACAGATATACATTAAACAGCTATGCTCAGTATTGTACAATATTAAGTAGAGTTCCAGCCTTTATGACAGGTCAGCAACTGCAACCTCTGAAAGTTTCAATTCCTTCTCAAAGTCTAGGTAGGCAGAGCAGGACACTGTGCTAGCTGCCAATGAAATAAAAAATTTGTTCATCTTCTTGATAAAGCAGATAAAGCTTGATAAAGATAGATTATGTCACTCCCTTCTGAAAACCCTTCAATGATTCCCTACTGCTCATAAAAACCAACATCCTCAGCCATGGGCAATGAAGAAGGTCCTCCACAAATCTGGCATCTCCAGACTATCTTTACAGTACTGTCCTCCAAAACCATCATCAGTTTGCTATTGCCTAGGACATTCATTCTTTTATGCTTATCCCCCTTCCATGTCTATCTGCCAAAATCCCATCCATCAAAGACTAACTTCCCAGGGCAATCTGGGTAGACCCATTCTTTCCCATTTAATCTTATCTCTGAGCTCACTCCTTTCCACCTTTAGGTTAGCAATCATAAATATTATTTTTGAAACTTGTTCCTTGTGTTTGCCTGTAATTCCCCCCTATAATATGAATTCCTTAAGGCAAAAATCGTATCTTGTCCCTGTGAATTCCAGAGAATCACAATGCCTTGCAAGTAATAGATCTAAAACACAGTAAATTCGGACAGCAAAGATACTAGCAGGAAACAGAAATAGACACGTTAAACAAATAAGATCAATTTTTAAAAACTCAATATTCTTAAAATCCAGCAAGAAAACAACCCAATTAAAAAATGGCCAGAGACCTTAGCAAACACTTACTAAATAAGATACACAGATAACAAGCACATAAGAAGCTCCATTTCATATATCAACACAGAAATTCATATCAAAGCAATGAGACACCACTGCACACCTTTTAGAATGGCCAAAATCCGGAACACTGACACCACCAAATGCTGGTGAGGATGTGGAGCAACAGGAACTCGCCTTCACTGGTGGGGATCCAAAATGGTACGGCCACTGTGGAAGATAGTTTGGCAGTTTCTTTCAGAACCAAACATATTCTCACCATATGATCCAACAATCCTACTTCTTAGTTATTTACTCAAAGGAGTTGGAAACTTGCATCCACACACAAAAAAACTGCACACAGATGTCATCAGAGCTTTTCCTCCTAACTGTTGAAACTTGTAAACAATTGACATGTCCTTCTGTAGGTGAACAGCTAAATAAAAGGTAGAACATCTAGACAATGTACTGCTAAAAAGAAATGAGCAAGGGGCACCTGGCTGACTCAGTAGGTAGAGCAGGTAACTCTTGATCTCTGGGTCTTGACATGACACTGGGCATAGAGAGTACTTAAAATTAAAAAAAAAAAAAAAAAAAAAAGCTTTACAGAAGAAATGAACTATCAAGCCATGAAAGAACATGGAGGAATTAGAAAAATTATTATTAAATGAAAAAAGCCAATCTGAATAGGCTACATACTGCATGATTCCAACTATGTGACATTCCGGAAAAGGCAAAACTACACAGACAGTAAAAAGATCAATAGTTGCCAGGGGTTAGCAGTGGTGGAGGGATGACTAGGCAGGACAGAGGATTTCTAGGACACTGGAAATACTCTGAATGATACTGTAATAGTAGATACGTATCACTATACATCTGTCCAAACCCATGGAATATACACCAAGAGTGAACCCTAATGCAAACTATGGATTTCGGTGATAACAATGTGCCCATGTGGGTTCAACTATTGTAACAAACGTTCTACTCTAGTGGGGGATGTTGATAATGGGGGGGGGGGAGGCTATTCATGAGTGGGAGCGAGGAAAGTGTATATACTAGAGCTCTCTGTACCTACCACTCAGCTCTGCTCTGAACCTAAAATGACTCTAAAAAATAAAGTCGATTTTTCGGGGTGGCTCAGTCTGCCTTCAGCTCAGCCAGGGTCCTGGGATGGATTGAGCCGGGAATCAAGATTCCCTGCTCAATGGGAAGTCCGCTTCTCCCTCTCTCTCTCTGCCACTACTCCCTGCTTGTGCCCCCTCTGTAAAATACATAAATAATCTAAAAAAAAAAAAAAGAAGAAGAAGAAGAAGAAGAAAGAAAGATATCACCACTGATCAGTATGAGGTCCAACTTATTTTTAAATATATATTGTCTTGGGACGCCTGGGTGGCTCAGCAATTGAGCATCTGCCTTCTGCCCAGGGCATGATCCTCGAGACCCGGTATTAAGTCCCACATTGGGCTCCCTGCATGGGGCCTGCTTCTCTCTCTGCCTGTTATCTCTGCCTCTCTGTGTCTCTCATGAATAAATAAAATATTAAATAAATAAAATAAATATATATTGTCTCAGTACTAAGAAATGAAACAAAATTCACGAAATTACTAGGAAAAATTTTATAACACAGAATGCCACAAATCAGTTGTGGGAAATACACATATCCTTGAAACAGCTGAATGCCACCACAGGCAAATAAAACCTCACCTAGAGGTTCAATAATTATATTGTAACATATATTGAATAAACATTTCTACAGAACATTTTGTATGCATTTTTACTTCTTCTGGGACTCTCAAAAGACAGAATTATAATGTATCTGTAAGCTGCCAGTGGACTCAAAAACCTCCAGCCTTTCAGTAGCTGCTCTTTCAAACCTAATTCAAACTTTTATTAATCTCCAAGTACTTTTAAAACATCACTGTGCTGTGCAGGAACGCAAGGGCACAAAGATGACCCACTTCCTGACCTCAGAGTTTACCTTCTAGAAGGAGATACATAATCAACCCTAGAATATCTGACAGTACATGGTACAAATGTGGTATACACGATGGGGGATAAAGGAAAATGAAAGAATGACTAGAAAACATGGCAGAGAATTTGAAATTTCAGAACTTGAATAAAGCAGGGATGGCGCTCCAGGCTGAAGGTCACATGCAAAGGAACACGAAAGCACATCTTCAAGAAAATGGGACGAGGAATGGGGAGGATTCTGGAACAGGTGAAGCATAAATCTGTGAGTAGTAGAGCCTGGACAGCAGAACAGGCACTGCGGAGACTGCTGACCTAGCCTAGCAAAGTCAGGCTTCGTCCTGAAGAAAGATTAGGAGGCGCTGAAAATTCTCACGGTCAGGAGAGAAAGAAACAATGTTCTGTTTCCTCTTAAATCAAGATGTGTCTATTTCCACACTGCTATAGAACAGTGTTCTAAAAATTTTTTCAAATCATCTGAGTTGTTTTGAGAACTGGTGACACCTTGGCAGCAGGTTACTGAAAAACACGATCAATAATTACAGTTTGGCGAGAACGTACGCAGCCTTCCCTGGAGCATCCCTCCAGCATTAACTGGACGCGCGGGCTTGTCATCCCCTGGCCTCTGACCCCGTCGGTCAGAACTACCGGCTCTTTAGGATATTTCGAGAATAAAGCGAAGTTTGGAGTTTCCAAGAGGCCTAGGTTTCCTCCTCAAGGGCCCAGGTTCTTCCAAACACTTCTCAAACGGCCGATGTGAAAGGGCGTAACCGCGAGTGGGGACCCCGCATGGACTTCGGGGGCGCTGCGAACAAACCACCCCCACCCCCACCCCCCACCCCCCAGCCCGGTGTCAACTAGTAACCAGAGTAATCGTCCTCGAGTTTGGGGTGGGGGCGGCTGGGGGAGCGGGACGGCGAACCGCAGCCGCTCCAAGGCCAGCCGGCCGCTCGCCGCTCGCCGCACCGCCCCAGCCCGAGCCCGAGCCCGAGCCCCAGCTCGGCCCCTCCCGCGGCGCCCACCTACCCGAGCCAGGCCCAGGAGCATGCGGAGCACACGGCGACCAGCAAGCCGCCCCGAGGCCCGGAGGGCTCGCCCGGGGCCAGGCCGGCCAAGGTCTCCACCGCCCAGGGCACGCCGCGGGCCCGGCGCGGAAGGTGGACCCCGCAACGCCGCTCCGCCGCCATGTGCCGCCGCTCGGTGGTTATGTAACCCGCTGCCCCGGGGGCTCCCGGGGCGCGCCGCCCCCCCACCCCCAGCCAACCGCGCCCGCCCGTCCGCCCTGCCCCGCCAGCCCGGCTCCCCGCCCCCCCGCCCCCGCGCCCGCCCCCGCCCCGGCCCCGGCCCCGCGCGGGGAGGCCCGCGGCCCTGAGGCCCAGGCCGCGCGGACCCGCCCTCGCGCGCCGGCCCGGCCCCCCCGCCCTTCCCCTACCTGCGCAGGGCGGGCGGCCCAATAGCCCGGCCGCCGAGTGCAGGCGCCGCGAGGCCGCGCGCGAGCTCCTCCCGCGCGGGTCCGTCACAGCATCTCCCAGGAGACACGGCCGCCGAAGGCAGGGCGCGCACGCCGCCGCCGCCGCCGCCGCCCCTCCAGCCTCCGCCCGCGACCTCGCCGGCCGCCGCAGACGCACAGCCCCGGGGGCGCCTCCGCCGGCTGCAGGCCGGCCCGCAGATCGGAGACGCCGCCGCCGCCGCCGCCCGCGCCGCGGTTCCGGGTCCTCCTCCCCGCGACTCTGCTTCCCGCGGCCCGCCGGCTCCGGCCCTGCTCTAAGCATTACCCCGGGCGCACCGACCGAGCCTTATAACCCCGGGAGGGGTGGGGCGGGGCGGGGCGGGGCGCGGAGGGGAGGGCAGCGGACGGAAAGGAGATCGCGGCGCCGAGAGCTGAGTTCTCGCGAGTGTTCCGGCCTCGGCGCCGGCTCCGCGGGAATTTTCAAACTCTCGCAGGAGGAGGAGGTGGGGGTAGGGAAAGGAAGGGAAGAGAAGCCTGCCGGGCCCGGGCTGGTCATTTACATAGAACTATCTTCCCCGCCTCCAAAGAGCGGCTGGGAGGCGGGGGGGGGGCGAAACTACAAGTCCCGCGATGCCTTGCGCGCCATCCCGCTGCGGCGGCCCGGTGCGCGTACGCGCGCGGAGCTGGGAGTGGTAGTCTCTGCCCGCGGTCCCGCCCGTGTGGGCGGGGCGGGGGCTCCTGTGGCGGGAGAGCGGCCGCCACGTTAGCGTGTGGCCCTTCTCGCTGGCGGCGTGGGGATGGTCTCTGCCCCCGTGGCTGGCGCGTCTGCGCTGGGGGCTTGTCTTCCCCGTGCTCCGACTCGTGGTGCCCGACGTGGGCGGACGGGAAACGCGTGTCTCCCCCCCGTGCGTTCGTGAATGCCCGCGCTCGCTTTCGCGGCCGCAGGTGTCACGCCGCCTTCTCTTATCTTTTTCCTAGTTTTACCCCAAATCTGTCTCAGCGTTTTGGTCGCCCCGGGGTTTCACTGTGGAATGTCTTTAATTTGCTGCTAATGTCTTTGGGGCTAGTCCCAGCCCCAAACGCGTTTCAAACAAATCGATGCCGACCCTGTCCCCGGTGGTAAACCCCGCTTCTCTTACCAGGAAAGTTTGTCCTTTTCTTTTATTGTAATGTGTGTTTCTTTGTTGACAGCAGCCTCTACACGCAGCAACAGATTTGCAGAGGTGCTGGGCTAATCTGGAAGGCCAGAATTAAAAGGGGTTTTTGGTTGTCTTACTTTTAAAAAGATTTTATTTACTTATTCGCGAGAGATGCGGAAAGAGGCAGAGACACAGGCAGAGGGAGAAGCAGGCTCCATGCAGGGAGCCCGATGTGGGATTCGATCCCGGGTCTCCAGGATCGCGCCCTGGGCCAAAGGCAGGCGCCAAACCGCTGCGCCACCCAGGGATCCCCAATTATTTTATTTTTTAAAGATTTTTTTTATGTACGTATTCATGAGAAGCACAGAGAGAGAGGCAAAGGGAGAAGCAGGCTCCACGCAGGGAGCACGATACAGGTCTCGATCCCGGGTCTCTAGGGTCACCCCCTGCGCCAAAGGCAGGCCCTAAACCGCTGAGCCACCCGGGCTGCCCCTGTCTTCATTATTTTAAATAGACCTTTTCCAACACATCACTGGTCTGGCAAATGTGCTGATTTATGTGGTGGCCTTGCCCCCCCCCCCCCATACGTCCTTCTCTGGCACCACTTTGTGCTCCATCCATGAGTACTGAACTTCTAGGTAGTTGTAGACATGAGTTCTCAACTCTGAGACCTCAGGAAAATCAAGTGATCTCTCTGGGCTTCAGTTACCTGTAGGGCAAAGGAGACTGGATTTAGAGGATTGATTCATCAGACAGACCTCTATTAACTTTTCTCTAAGGGCTCACCGGTTGTAAAATTCAGAAGACTATTTCCTCATACTTACACAGATTAATTGACTTTCTAAATCAGATTTTATTTTATTTTTAAAAATCTATTAGAGAGAGAGAGAGCACAAGCAGGGGGAGCAGGAGAGGGGGAAGGAGAAGCAGACTCCGCACTGGGCAGGGAGCCTGAGGTGGGGCTCCATCTGAGAATCTGAAGATGGTGACTTGAGCCGAAGGCAGATGTTTCACAGACCCAGCCACCCAGGTGCCCCCTAAATTAGATTGTAATCTTTCCTTCCATCATCCCCAGCAGAATGGTTTCTGTATGGTTACCTATAACCATACAGAATGGTTGGGTCATACCATACAGGTAGGACCCATCCTACCTGTCCTATTTTATTTCCCTCATAATTCTAAGGATCCTTTTCTTTCTTTAAGATTTTAATTATTTATTTATTTATTTATTTATTTATGAGAAACACACACACAGAGACAGAGAGGCAGAGACACAGGCAGAGGGAGAAGCAGGCTCCATGCAGGGAGCCTGATGTGGGACTCGATCCCTGGACTCCAGGATCACACCTTGGACTGAAGGTGGCACTAAACCACTGAGCCACCCAGGGATCCCCTAAGGATCCTTTTCTTTACTCAGATGAGAGAGCAAAAGGCAAGCTGAGGGCAAAACGTGAGCTGATGCCCCACAACCCCCATTATATATATGTGTATATAAAAGATATTCCTCAGGCAGTAGTAACTGCCTAAGAACCAGCACAAGGCTAAGGGAAAACAAATGGTCTGCTGATAAAGATCATAGTCATAGAGGATCTGAAACTCCACTATACTATGTAACCATCTTAATAATTTACAAGAAAAAATTTTAATAACAGACTTCCAGGAACCTATAGACTCCATCTCCTGGATCCCTAACGTCACCTTCACCTCCATAGGAAAGAAAACCCCGTGTGATCAGAATACAGTTCTTTCTGCCCATGAGTCCTGTCCCCATGCTATAATAAAAACACCTTTTGCACCAAAAATGTCTCGAGAATTCTTCCTTGACCATTGCACTTGATGATCTCACATCAGCTATCCTCCAAACATATTCCTGCCTTTCAGTGTCTCCCAGCCTCTCCCTTAATCTAAATCTCAGCATCCCTCGGGGTACAGCTCAAGCCTCTTTTCTCTCCCAAATCTTCCCTTCAGCTTTAGCCCACATTCATTATTAAGAACTTGCACTGAAAATTATGCTAACTGCATGATTTTATGTCTGTTTCCCTGTTTGCCTCCGACTCCCTCCCTCCCCCCACAACCCCCATCATCCTGACAGCAGACTGTATGTCACACTTTTTAATGTTACCCTCATAACGGCTAGTTGCTTATTTAAATTCCTTTTGAAAACTGAATCTTCACTTTAAAGCTCCCTTCAACCCTTTTTCGTCTTTTTCAGTCATTTAAGCAGATGGCAAATTGATTTGTTAGCTTCAAGAGACGTTAATTATTAAATGGGGGGAAAATCTGAGTCTGGTAATCAAATGAGTTTGGGAAAAGCTGATTGAATAAAATCAAACATTTCTCTTATATATACTTCACAACCTTTAATAGGCTTGACATTTCCCCAAAGTTACATGACAGTGGACTCCATTTATATTCTTAGATCATCTGGCCTCATGGGTGTTCCCCAGAATGGACCTTGGTAACCCTGGCTTCAAAGCTTTCCCTTCCTGGAGGAAGCACTCTGTCCTGACAACAATATAGTAATTTGGAGTCAGAACTTGAACTTGGGTTTTAATCTTTTTCTCTACTTTATGGCAACCTGACTTTAACTGAATTACTTTCATCTCTGAACCTGTTCTCTCATCTGGAAAGAAAGGAGAACGTTACTTCCTTCCCTCGTACGGCTCCTACAGAGATTGAAGAGAAGCATGTGCCCATCTCAGAGCTTCATTCCCTTTCTATCTATATAGTCAATAGGTTTGGGGGTGGAAAAAAAAAAAGCCTACAAAATGGTAATGTCTAGTGTGGACCCTCCCTCATATTTCCATTTGGAATGTTTTAAGAGGTCTTAGTATTTCAAGACCTCACCACATCCTGGGAGCAACAGACAACCATGTGATTTCAGAGATCTTAGAATTTCACTGAAGTGCTCGATTTACATCTTGTTTGTTTTACAAAGAAATCGGTGGGGGTGGGGGACTTTCCTACTCGAACAACAACAAAGGGAGCTTTTCTGTCTCCAGAGGAGGCAATCCTCTGTCCTTAACAGTTACATTTTCGTTATTATTGTAGAGATTATTGGTTAGAACGAATGTTGCCTCACCTTTGACTTTCCCAATTGACAATTAGCTTAGTGAGTGAAGAGTCCTATCTTTCTTGTTCCCCACTCTGCTTCCAGATGCTGACTGGATCCCAAGATCCCCGGGATCGTGACCTACCTGAGCCAAAGGCAGAGTCTTCAC